TATATATATATAACTAAACGAACTTTTTGGTTGTACGGCAGTGAAAGATCAGTGGCAACACTGATGTTGCTGTCTTTGATGGTGATGATTTAGGTCTTTTACAGGCCAATTGTTGGAATTAATCGAAGCGTCACATGTAATGTGCCCAGTGTAGAAGCAGATAAAAGTCGAAATGGGATAGTTGTACTCCTCACGGCGCGACCGCTCCCAGGATCAACCATTTTTAACCCCCAAAAACGAATGCCACTTTAGAGGACAACAGCATATATACAATATTTCCCTCTGGCCACTCTGCAACACCAGATGGGAACACTAGCGCTCCACTACCTTACAGTCGCTTCACTTTACCTGAATAAGGCTTGGTAGTTGAAAGAAGAACGAGAAGACCAGGGAGGGGGCATGGCGCTATCCTTCCGAAAACATCGGAGGTACCTACACCTCCAACACTCAATCAGACAACTTGGGTAAAAACTGGTGACATAAATGCGGTCGACATGGTTTGACTGCCATCCAAATACATGGTGGGTCACTTGGATTGCATCCGGGAGCCCCAACAGTATTCAGACTTTTCATTATATCCCCCACTCGCTTCTGCCTTGTCAAATTACGTCCACGGCTGGGGGCTTGGTAGAAGAAGAACGAGAAGACCAGGGAGAGGGCATGGCGCTATCCTTCCGAAAACATCGGAGGTACCTACACCTCCAACACTCAATCAGACAACTTGGGTAAAAACTGGTGACATAAATGCGGTCGACATGGTTTGACTGCCATCCAAATACATGGTGGGTCACTTGGATTGCATCCGGGAGCCCCAACAGTATTCAGACTTTTCATTATATCCCCCACTCGCTTCTGCCTTGTCAAATTACGTCCACGGCTGGGTTTCCGTCACTCTGACTTATTTGTGGGAAGCACGCTCATCTCGACAGGTGGTGTCGTAGCATATAACCCAGCCACCTTAGCTTGCAGTGTTATGTGCATTCTTCTAGTGAAGTACCTAATAAGCCCTGCTGAGTAGGAATTTCCCCTCTCTCAGTATATATATATATATATATATATATATATATATATATATAACTTAAGGTTCCGGTTTTGGAGTCGGCTTATCGAGGGGATTACTTTCTTTTGTAAAGGAGAAAAACCGAGACTTGGTCATTAGTTCGCTATCCGCATAGCGTGTACTTTTCAGGGCGCGCCATTGCGAACCGGTATTAGGGGCATTTAGTGCAAGTGGCAGAAATCGTCCGTTCGGTTTTCCATGATATAACTGCTAATTTCCAAAAAAATGGTATTATGTTTGTATTGTTTCCGATTTCTTCTGAAGAGAAGGTCCCCTTTGGAGCTACGAAATATCCATACAGGTCAGTTTCTGTGCTTTTGAATACAAAACCATTTATCGTTTTGTTTCAATACACGGGAAACTTAACAAGGTGTTTTAGTGAATTCATATAGGAAGTCGTACTGCTTTCATACTTCCTATCGTTGACCGTATTCTATTTTAGGTCTGGCTTTTCATCACAAACGCCCGTGGGTTCTGAGTAGCCTTCACACTGGCACTATTCAGTTGTGGGACTACCGAAGCTGCACTTTAATTGATAAATTCGAAGGTCATGAAGGACCAGTTAGAGGGATCGACTTCCACATTAATCAGCCATTATTTGTCTCTGGTGGCGATGACTATAAAATCAAGGTGTGGAATTATAAACAGAGGAAGTGCTTGTTCAATCTTCTGGGACACTTGGATTACATCCGGACGACGTTCTTCCACAAGGTGAGGCATACGATAGTATATATGTGCTTGAAACAACGGCTGAGGGCCTGTTTTTGGAGGTTGATGGTTCTCTGACTTTGTCCATGTTTGGTCTGTTAAAGTCAAGCCGGGTTCAGTCCTTCAAGATGCTGTACAGTCTTTCGATTAGTCGCACTGCTTCTAGCAACCAGCATTGGTCACCCTTGACTTTAAGGCTACCTTTGACCTTGTTGGTCGTCGAGCTCATTAACAGTGTCCAGAGCGAAGGTGTTCTAGATATTTTTTACCCTCTCCAAAATGTCGTACGACCCATTTGGATGCTTTAAGCTCTAATGTAGGCTCTCATCTGAGTTCATCGCACCCGATGGTGTCAGACAGGACTGTTCTGTTAGCTTTATTCTTCAGCACTGTGGTCGGTATGGCCATGGATGGCTCACTTCCTACCTCTGGTACCTGTGTGATTGAAATGCCTCCATGGTATTCCTCACTTATATCGAGTATATGGACAACATAAGTCTTGCATCCGACCCCGTCGGGATTTTTAACAATACTAAGTAACCGAGATAATTCTATCTAACGGTATGGTGTGTGCATCACGCCTACAAAGTGTAGTGCTGCCGTATGGCTCAGTAGAATCACACACGGGCTTTGTGTCTGTAGCCGAGCTGATTGATGTGGCGGATAAATTTGTTTACCCGGCTAGTTGTATCGTCCCCGGTGGTCTTGCTAAAGGTAGCACCATCATCCCAGTGGGGGTCAAAACGGTTTCCTCAATCTGCAATACACATGGCGTACACGTGACGTCAGCTTGTCACTAAGATACAGCGATCCACGTTGCTGTGTGGTTCAGAAACATGGCCGCTGCGACTGAGGACGTGAAACAAAGTTTCTGTGTTTGACCGTCAGTAATTCTAAAGCATATCGAATGATTTTCGGAGGAAAACGCGCGTACATTATAGATGACGACATTCCATAGGTTGCGCCGTCTTGGTTGCGTGCTTCCTATGTTAACTAATCGGTTTCCTCAAAGGACCCTCTTCCCACAGCGATGTGGGGTGGAAATGAGCCAGGGAAGACTAATAGTGGCTTGGCAATGAAGTATGAAAGCCATTACTAGCACGCTCAGCTGTGCTGATCATTATCCTCCGAGCTGCATATATCTCAGTGGTTAAGGCGCAAACCTGGCTGGAAAGTTCGAACCCACTTCCGGCATCTCGACTGCTCTTATGTAGGTTTAGGCAACCTGGCAGTAGTTCAGCCCTCTTGCTTCATGGCAGCTAGGCACCGAAGGGTGTTATAGCTGAACGATCATTACTTTTTGCCACCACAAGTAGTTTAAGGAAAGGAACGATAGAGGACGTCATTTCATTTTGTGTGGGGACGAGATGGCCCAAGTGGTTAGAGTGCGAATTTACTGACCGGAAGGTCCGTGGTTCAAATCCGATCTCCGCCACTCGACTTCCCCTGTCTAGGCTTGGGCAACCTGGCAGTATCCCAGCCCCCGTGCTTCCTTCGGGTGGCATGGCAGCTAGGCACCGAAGGGGTGCTACAGCTGAACGCTCCTTCATTTTGTGAACACAGGAAAGAATTTGCCCCAGACACACACGCATCCATGGGGTAAGGTATATGGAGCCTCTATAGGGATAGAAATGTAAAAGGATTTGTAAAATTCACATTCAGGTTCGTCTATTCTCTTGTCGGAATTATTCTCGCGAGTTCACACCGGCGTGCACTGGTGGTAGCCCACGCGCCTTTAATATCTGATGCCTTCGTTTCAAAGCTCAACGTGGTGTAGGATATGTACTGCTGATGCGCTTTAGTAAAAGTGAAACTGGAATCCAGTGCTTCACGAGAATGGTTGAACATTAGGGGAACTGTCCAAACGAAACATATGATCAGTGTGGATGCTCTGCTTCATCACTTAGTCCGACTTGCTTTGTCAAATAACCTGGTTTAAGACGTGCACAAGCATCACTTGTCCAAACATATCACAGTGGTACTAAAGCCGGAGCATCGAGATCCTACTAATTACTGTGGTTCCTATTGCCTGCAAGGCCTGTGTATACCTAAGCTGGTCTCACTTACCTGTCACCGCGATTATCTCTTGATGGAACTTATTGATAATGGTTTGGCCGCAAAATTTGACAGATACAAAGGCCATACCCTCGTCTGATGGGGAGAAATGTTGATAAATTGATTTACCCATAGGCTAATTAGGCCGGGTTAGGGGAACACTGGAGGTAAGGCGGCGGGTTCCTAGTGATGCACATGCAATTCTCCCATTCACATCAAAAGCAGTATCTAGTAGACAAACAAGTGGGCACTGGTGACCGAAAATTTTTACCGTCAATTGTTTGATAAACTGTTGTTTAGGAAAGTGTTTAGTCCATCTATGGCGGTTTGAAAATGACATTCCACCAGTATTTTGTGCAACCATACTTGTGCCTGTCCTGCCGATCAATTATCACAAACAGATCCTGTCTTTGGTAGGAATAAGTTTGTAGTGAACGTTTTTCAGTTTTGTGTTTTTCTTCCAGTAATTTGTAGCTCAACTTCGGTCCAATGGAAGTTTGGGTGACAGCGTCTATGGTGTGAACTTACACGGGGTATGTGGAGCCAATGGAGATACGCGGAACCTTGAGCCAATGTTCGGATTTCTTCCTATGATCAATTGCCAGGGTGCGAATTTATTGACAGAAAGGCCCGTGGTTCGAACCCGACCTCTGCATATCGACTTTTCTGTCTAAGTTTGGACAAATTAACAGTATCCCAGCGAGGTGCTTCCTTCGGGTGGCATGGCAGCTAGGAACCGAAAAGGTGTTACAGCTGAAAGATTATCTTATTATCTATCCCATGATCATATGGTTGTTGTTCCCGTCCAAAAAAAGCGTGTCTGATGCGTCACTACTCTCTATTTGTCCTCATACTTCACTCCCAGTATAGAACTTATTCGATTTTCGGTGATGAAACGTCTATTATTTACACTTTCTGACCATAAAACTTCATATCCAATGATCATATCTATCTTCACAGGAATACCCGTGGATCCTGAGCGCCTCTGATGATCAGACTATTCGCATTTGGAACTGGCAGTCACGCTCAGTGGTCTCGATCGTGACTGGGCACAGTCACTATGTAATGTGCGCACAGTTCCATCCAAAGGATGACCTGATTGTTTCAGCCTCGCTGGATCAAACCGTTCGTGTTTGGGACTTCTCTGGACTTCGAAAGAAGAATGTTGCGCCTACTGGACTCTCAGGGATCGAGGTGCGTTTGTACCGTTTACTTCCGGCAATAATTTGTGTTTAGTTTAGACTCAGTTTACTTTTAACGAGCATATGACCCTGAAACTCCACAATATTTCTGCCAACCGCAGGCTGATGTTCGGTGGTAACATGCATTACTTATAAGCATAAACCTTCCATAAATCCGACTGGTTCGAAAACTTTGTAGCGGTATGAACGATCAGTATTGGGGACATGACAAGAAGGAGAGTCTGTCTGCTCTGTCTCCCTCCCTTCACGACCTTGTCGAGGTGCGATAGTATGGGTACTTATGTAAACTGTTGAACTATGCTGGAGGATGCCCATTTTGTATTCACAGTCTATCCCACCCGATCAGCCAGTTGATGGAGATGTGACGAACAATCTCCTTGCCCTCCAGCTAATGTGTTTGAACAAGGGTGTCAACCTCTTCCTTAAAAGTTAGTCTTACGCCATCAACCACTATCTTGTGTCAGACAGATTTGTCCAAATCGGCTTTACTTTGGTCGCCTTATTCACTGCACACAACAGGATGGGTAGACCAGACATGCAACTGTTAAACGCCTCCCACTACTATTCACTTTTTTCTTCACTCCCCTAACGCACCATGTGATCATCACTCACTTATAAAGCCCAGCTCTAGGCATCATTTGAACACTCAGGGAATTAACCGACCTCACACCATCGATCACATATGCCGCTTATTTCACTATCCAAACATCGTTCTTCCCGTTTGGTTGCAGCCGACCAGCAAGCTGTTCTTGCGCATACCCTTGATACCTTATCGAATTTAGTTGCATTTAACTCCAAATTCAACACCTAACTACATTATTTTAGCTTACGGCACCTTCGCTTTCTAGATGTTGTTGATAGTAGACTTCAGGTGATTCTTCAGCCGCCGCACCTGGTTGCGACGGTGTTAGTAAAGCTCTCAGCTTCCGAGCTGAGGCCTTGACTGATTGGATAACCGTAATCAGTTGCCTCTGTGTCGCCGATCTGTCCACTTCCGTGAGAACTCGCCTTGGTCGAATTACTAGCCGCTGCTGTCTATACACTAACCACTCTCGCTCTGATTTTGTGAAAAATACTTTCTGACGAGTAGTAACCACCCTGTTATCCATCGCAAGCGTTCAGATCTAATCATAATAACGAGTTTTACAACGCAATTAGGGCGCTTCATTTCATAATAGTGGACGTCCTTTACAACTCTATGCTGACCACCAGTTGTTCCTCAGCAGTACCGGATTTAGGCCAGTGGTCAAGGCATCTTCAGTGCTCCTCTCTCTCTCTCTCTCTCTCTCTCTCTCTCTCTAGACCACCCGGAAGCAATTCGGCTCTTGTGTTTATTTCGGGTAACATGGCAGCTAGGCGCCGAAATGGTGTTACAGCCGAACGTTTATTTATCTATTTACCATTGTTTTTATCTTGATTGTTAAGCACAATGGACGTCGTTGTGACATCTGGCATCCTCCTAGTGCTGAACACCTGTATGGCCAGATTGATCACGTAGTTAGCTACAAATGATGAGGTTCGACACTCCACTACTGACCACTAATTCAGATTATGCTATCCCGATTTTCACAGAACTTCCCGTTTTTCGGTCGAAAAGGTTTCCGGTCCATGTATTAAGCAAACATATCAAAGCCCATTGTGTAATGCCTTGGAAGTGATCACATCAGAAAACAGTACTCTTAACTGGGAACAGGTAACAGCCTTTATACGTCACTCTGGCATGGGGTCTTTCCGAGTGCGCACATACTAACTACGGATTTCAGACCCCCACGAATAGGCTGGCTTTAATGGGGCGGCTCCACCCCGATAGCATTATTTCCCTCGTGAACCCATCCGTTAGGACTGCTAACCTCATTTATGAAGCTGTCCAGAGGATTTCCTGCAACTGATAGGGTTCGGCAAGATGACCTTCCCCCCTGTTTAGCTTTGCCGATGATATTATCTTGAAATGCACACTCTAAGGGATCGAAGCTCTTAGCATCGAAATTACGTCTAGGGAAAGACTGGTGGTTTTGGACCATATAGATGATATTGTCATGTTTGATTGCCATCAGTCCACGCACTACTGTAGGCAGAATTTTGGATGTGATGCGTATTTTTTTTTGGTGTTTTGCGCCTTCAAAGTGCTTCAGTATTTTGAGTTCCCCCTTATCCGTCGCCAGCTTCATGGTATGATAGGCGTTAGCTGACAACAGCTTGTTCGTAATGAAGTGATGCTTATGTGAACAGTTGGCAACGAGTCGGAATCACTAGAGCAGCGTGTACAGCTCAGCTCAGGTGGTCGGGTAGTTTACTACTAGTGAGTTCGGATGTGGTGTGCGCGCATCAGCAAATGTAGAACTCAATTGGGTCAGATTGTAATTGAACTCAGGGGCGAATCCGACCCGTGATTCGCCTGTTCCTGGTTTGACAACTTGGCACAGACGTCAGACAGATTTGATCAATGTTATTCATCAATAACCCTCAGCAGGTGGTCCGTCCCAACATTTTTCGCCAAAACACTATATTATATCTCAGCACTGGACTTCCGGGCAGTTTGCTTAGTGCGAGCCATCCGAAGATTTTCGCACCGAGACGAACCCATCAGCTTACAGTCGCAGATTCATGCGGATCGTTCTACTACTATCCGGAAAGTTAAGAAAGGGGGCCGGTGGAAGGGACGCCAAAACGGTCATACGGAGGTCAGATATTGATTCCAGGACCTATGGAATGCTCTCCATGGTGGACGCAGAGTCGAATGCTACATAAACACGAGACACAAATCAGATCATAAGCACGGTCACGTCAAGTGAACCAACTTCAGATAACACACTATGGTTCAGTGAGGGGTCCACGTCGCATAAGACACTGGACAGCCGTGACATACCTCCGAACTGGAGGGTAGCAGATCCCAGATCCGCATGCTCGCAGCCCCAGGGACGGACCGAAATGCGACAGTACCTCCTTGAGTCGTCACAGTGGAATCCAAAGCAGCAGTCGGTTGGATAGCCTCTTCAAGATGGAGGTGTCCATAGGCCAGTCGTCCCTAATAACCGAACACCACATCTTTTGGACGGATGTGTCACTTGCAGGACACGGACCAAACGAAGGCATGCCCTGATTGGCCAGAATACCAGCCAATCCGGATCGAGCATCTTTGACTCGACGCTTCTAGCCCCCTCACGGAGATTCTAGCACGACCTTGTGGAACACTCTGTGATTACCCTATAAATACAGCTGTAATAATTTCCCGTTGTCTCAATGAAGGGCTGTCTAGAGCTACCGTGCCTTTTGATATACCATAGTGGGCGGAGCAGGAAGCCAAGAGACCGATACGAAGTACACCACCGTTCAGCAAGACATAACATTCACCTACACATTCTCGGCACGGACCAAGTTGTACGTATCATTTTGTAAAGACTTCTACCAGGTAAAGACGCACCTTCCTCTTTGAGAGTCTTTTAGCCTCCTGAAACCATGCTTAGTCTCTTTTGTTCGAATCGGCGGAATTACATGTGATCCTTATTCTTGAGTCCGTGGGGAATTTGTAAATTGTTTCCAAACTCAAGTCTCTATCGTGGTTCTGCTTGCACTGCTCACAGACTTCCTAAGCGCTAATGAATACCCCACGTTATTTGCCATAACAAATTAGTCTGCATACGTTTTTTTTGCAAACTTCTGACTTAGAGACAAGAACATTGCTTCCACTACTTGGGTTGTCGGTTCTTCGCACCGAGAAATCGATATTTTTATCCACAGTTTACTCTTTTCGCGACTGTTCTCCGCTCTGAGATGTTTGTGAGGACTGGGTAGATACACTTAAGAAATTTAAAGTTTGATTTACGAACCACATGCACTCAGTGATCCTACCAATGTGTGGAATTACCCTCTTCCTTGTTACTTCGAACCATTTAGGGATGGGTCTTGACAAGAAACCGAGTGTAGTCGACCTGTTTCGTTTTACCAATATCCATTTCATCGCGTTTCGGTTGTTAGGATTTTATGACTAGCTTCAGCTTGGAAAGACTAATTCTCCCACTGATTTTCGCATTTCATCTTTCCAAGGAACACATGCGCCAAATGACTGGTTCATCCAGACATGGCGGATCAGGAGTTGGAACAGCTGGTCACGCCGAGTTGTTCGGCACTGGTGACGTTGTCGTACGCCATGTGATGGAAGGACATGACCGTGGCGTGAACTGGGTGACTTTTCATCCATCGCTGCCTATCGTGGTTTCAGCAGCGGATGACCGTTTGCTCAAACTATGGCGTATGACAGGTGGGTACAATCGTGGAATTGACTGCTAGTTTTATTCACGTTCCCGCTTTCTTACGATCTTTAAAACCTTATTGAATGGAAGTAAAAAAATGGCATGAACTTGATTTGATTCGATCAACCTACTCACTTGACCTGAAGAAGCTTTTTTGCCAAAGCTAAACGTGGCCCAGTTATTAACCCACCTATTCTTTATCAAACCCTCTTGAGGCGATGTTTCATATTCCGTTATTTGAGCAGCCGACCAGCTGCACTGGTCAAAGTAAAATCATTATCACTTGGTTCTGTTATATTTCACATGTCAAATTCTTCATTGTTACCCCGTTTATACTTCAGGTTTGGTAGTTATTCGGTGGTTAGCTGATGGCTAGACTGATAGCCTCTATCAGAGTTAGACCGGTTGTAGCGGTCTCCTGGAGGTAACGAAACTCGTAGCTGTACTGTTTTCTCTGTTCGCACTAGATTACGGTTTTTCAACGGTCGCTTTGTTTACCTTGAATCCACGCACCGTCGTTCTAGTGACGGTTTAGTGACGTCATTAGTGTAATTGTGCGAAATAAGGTGGTTGTCAAAGTTCCAGGTGTTCTTCGACAGGTATGGTGTGTCTTTTCTCCGGCTACATCAAACTTGCCTCAGTAGCTACCCTCAGTTTGGATAAGCACCCCGCACCATCGATGTGCATGACTGCTTATTATATGTACTGCTTACGTACTGTGCCGCGTGGGCCCTGGTCAGTTGTTTCGTAGAGCCTCGTTGGAGTTATTTGCTCATTGGAGAAAATTTAACTGTTCTTTCATAGCCCCTAAGGATCGCATTTACGACACTAACCGCCCATCCTTCATATTAGTAGTGGTTTTTCATTTTAATTCGGTTTCCTGGGTTGCAGAATCGAAGGCGTGGGAGCTTGATACTCTTCGTGGACACTACAATAACGTCAGTTGTGCCTTATTCCATCCAAGGCAAGACCTGCTCCTTTCAGATTCGGAAGATAAGTCTATCCGTGTATGGGATTTGGTCAAGCGGACTTGTCTGACCACAATTCGGCGTGATTCTGATCGGTTCTGGGTTGTAGCCGCTCACCCCAAGCTCAATTTGTTTGCTGCTGGTCACGATACCGGCTTTGTTGTTTTCAAGTTAGAACGCGAACGACCAGCGTTCGCTGTGCACAAAGATTTCATTTTCTACGTTAAACTCCCATTTCTTCGTCGCTTGGATTTGAACGTAACGAAGGATATCCCAATTATACAACTGCGAGAGTAAGTTATCATCACCCTTATGCTCTACTTAACTTAATGTTCTATCATATGCTAAAACCTACGAATTCCCATCTGAAGGCCCTACCGAAACCCACTGAAATTTTCCAGTTCCCACACACTACCACCAAACAATAAGTAGCTTAGAAGGAGGACAGTTTACACGACGGGTGGGCCTTCCATATGAGAAATCGTCACACAGGTGGCTTGTCAACACGGACACGTGACATGGATTCCGTGACTGAAGATTGAGTGGTTCTATATCCCGTTTGCGTGCGAGTTAATCACATTGCTTATCAGCTGCTCGTGACCAAACGGTTAGATTCTCAACTACTAACCAGGAGGTTCTGGGCTTTAAAGTTTTAATTTCGTGAGATGCGCATTGTCGGTGATTTCCAATAGGGATTAGACAGCTGTACTATGCTTCTCGGCTCTTCAGCGTAGACTGACCCCATTCAAAGGACGAAAGCTCCATTGTACATGTCCTCGAATTAAAAAATTCTTGACTTTGGAAATACTTGAGGATCTACATCTTTTTTCATTTGTGGTGCTGCTAGTTTTTTTCGGTTGGACGTCAATTTTTGGCATATACTTGGGTGTAAGCGATTCCTCCATCCATCAACACCTGTGTTCTTACGCTTTTTAGGTGTGCACGTGATATTCTGTCTTATACAACGAACCAAATATTTACGCGACTGTCGGCATACTTATCCATTGTTAAGGCTTTTCACAGAGAATGATACTTCTCATTCCATGATTGAGCGTCCCATGTGTCACGAAGCTGAACCGTGACCAACCACAAAGGTTGAAATAATAAAACTGACTGGATCACGTGGTTTTTAAATATGGTTTAGCAGATGTACCCACGGTGTTAATAACAACAGCTCACGTTATCAGTTACGCAAACATGTTGCATGGACAGCCAAAGTGTTCATGCGTCAATCAGTTCTATATCGGCAAAGGACAAACCATCATCGATCTAAGTGCAACTGCTGGATGAAGTGAACTTGCTGTGTGATTAAGTCAGTCAAGATTCAGACCCGTTTCACCAAGGTGGGCACACCACACAAGACTATGAGCGTCCTAATTTTAAAGTCGAAGTTCTGAGCTGGGGAAGGGACTTGTATGGTTAATTGAAATTACTGTCGTCATCGGAGACAACAACATCAGTGTTGACATTGATGCTTCACTGCTTTACAACACAAAGTTTATTGACTTGTTAAATACAAGCGTTAAGGTGGAGGGAAAAGACTGGATCTAGGGACCTGGTGCTAGCCAATTGCCAGCATTTTGCGGTGCCTACATATCTAAGCGCGCAACCAGACAGCCTGGGAAGAAAATGACGTCATGAACGCCACTGACATCGATTAGCCGGCGTTTCTTATCACAAGTCAAACGCAGGGGGAGATTCATGGGGGCCCTATCCTGGAAGGCGGGCCGCATCAACAACACCTGAACACCTAATCTCTCTTCCGCCCAGTTACACGTTGTCTAGCTCGCAGTTTACGCCATTCTGAATGAGGCTTGGAGAAGAAAAACTTGGTAGGCAACGATTTGGAAGGCCTTGCACATGGCCCGACCATCGCACCTGATGGTGCTGGATGTTTTTCGCAACAGATATACCTACTGCACAACGAGATATCCGATTTATAATTACCTCGTTGCGAATTCGTTGACGGCACTCGTCACAAGCAGCACTTTCAGGACATCGGTGGTCAAAGACCTGAAGATGTCTCACATTAACAATCAACAATCTTTCAACTGCAGCACCCTTTTAGTGCGTAGCTGCAATGCCACTCGAAGGAGTTCCGGGGGCTGGGATACTGCTATGTTGCCCAACTCTAGACAGGGGAAGTCGATATGCAGGGGTCGGGTTCTAACCACGGACCTTCCGGTCAACAGATTCGCGCTCTTACCACTGAGCCATCTTGCCTCACATCATGTGTCTGCAGAATTCATGTCTTGCAAGTTGACCCACGTGATTCGTGCCTTTGAGATTTATGCACTCAATTCATCAGACACACCATCAGAGCTAATACAACTTCCAAGGTATGTGAATTTCAGACATCACGGTAACCTTTATCGAACATCTCGCGTAATCGTCACATCTCTAAGATGGTCAAATAGTGTGACTTAAACTAATCCATTATTCTCAAAGTTAGTTCAATTGCTCATCTTATACTGTCAAATCAGGCATAATACAGATTTGTATGTTCGCTTACTAGTGCCGGTCACTGGTTTAACCATTATCTCTTATGCATGTATACCGATACACCTCAATTTTGCGGCCCTTATCAGGCATACATTAACTGAGTAACAGAGGTGGATTGGCCTTTATCACAGACACAAAAATTCGAATTATCCGGTCATACTCCGGATTAGATAAGTGTAAGTAATTTCGACACTTAAACGTAGAAAAGCTATTCACCAAAGAAAACTTTCGCCCCATAAAAGGGTTCGTAGAGTTATAAAGTACTTTTCATGGTACTTCAGTTTTTATGTATTCGTTATGTTTGATGCCTATATACCCACTTCATCTCAAAGCTCATCAGCTCTTGTTCATCAATTTGTTCTCCATAACCCTCATCGTGTTTATAGTGAAAGGTTTTACGTTCAGTTTACAGCTATAATCCTGGCCCTCTACACCAACCCTCCTTTATTTTCCTATGTCCAGAGGACGCGGTCTTGCTGTGAGCTTGGCTTACAACCCGATTGAAAATGCTGTTTTGGTGTTGAGCCGCAACAGGGAGACGGATTCTGGGAATGTGAATGCATCTTCGTTGACTACAACAAACAACATGGTCTACGATTTATACATGCTACCCAAAGATGTCACGACTGGCGGTGAGCCGCAACATGCAGAAAGTCGGTCTGGTACGGGATGTGCAGTAGCTTGGGTCGGGAGGAATCGTTTTGCTGTATTGGAAAGCACGGGAACGGTGAGTTCTTTTGATTTTTTCGTGTGTTGTAGCAAACCCTCAATCGCCTACTCGCTGCCGTTGGGATCCGTAATTTTGGCGAGAAAGTACGACTGATCGAGTGCGATGGAGCTGCTCGTGACGTACAATCTCTTAATGCTTCTACCAAAAGGCTTACTGTGTGTTAATCGTCTTTCAACGGTTCTAGGGAGGCCATTGCTTCCCAAGGGATAAACGTGGAGCAGCTAAGAGAGAGAAAGTCTCAATGTTCGATTGCACCGTTCCTGTTTAGGCCTGCGCAACCTGCCAATTTCCCATCTCCCGTGCCTATGGGTTGCATTGCAGCTATGAACTCTCGCTCTTCGTATCCACCTTTTGTGATGCCTTTGGCATTTCACCCGAACGTTAAAACAGTCTAATGACTGGACCAATAGTCTAACTCACCATTGTATCCAGGCGGCATGATGCGGTTTAGGTACGAGGGTGTTTCTGTGTGTGACACCTTTTACCCATTTGTCGACTAGTACCAAACAGTCCCACTACCTCGATACCGAAAACACAAGTTCTGTCTTTTCAATCTACTTCAGGTGCTGATTAAAAATTTAGCCAACGAAAAGGTCAAACGAGTGAACTTCACTGGTGTCGACCAATTTTTCTACGCTGGTACCGGCAATTTATTGATCCGTGATGCAAGTGGAGTCAGCTTGTGCGACGTCATCAACAAACGTACACTGGCTACTTTAAAAAACACCAAAGTATGTATCTTCCCACTCGTCGATCTGTTGCCGTCGATTTTTCACCTATTTTTTGCGTAACTTTTCAAGTGACTTCTCTTTTTTCAACCTGGCTGGATTTGTGGGTGGAAATTCCGTTTGTTTTTTATTTCATTATATTCATCCTAAGGTGCGAATTATGACACATTCATCTATTGCTAATTGATGAGTTGGTTGTTGATCCGTCCGTCGAACCTGGCAGTTGACTTCCAGAAGGGGCATCTTAATCGCACGCTCCCTCTCTCGTCGTTCGTGCACTTATATAGTTTTCAACGAGCAGCTTCGAGCCATAAACTGATTGGTTGTTGATAATCATCGCATTCCGAGTTTGATTGATTTCGTCGTGATCTGTTTTCCGTTTTGATATGCGTTTCTTGCGTTCTACTGCCACACCGTATGTTGGAATTGTCGTCCATTATTTTCTCTTCTGGCTGGTCATATGTATTGCGTCATGGTCCACCTTCCTCTTGTTTGATCAGTTGATGATGTACCCTCTATTTTTATTAGTCTACTGTCCACAACCTGATTGATCCATGCCCGTTTTGTGGTTTACATTCATGAGTCTAGGTGGCCCATTTGCATCTCTTCTCTCAGTGTTTTTTCCGATTTTTGGCTCTTTTGGTAGCGGGATCCTTAACTGAGTCAAATTCTGAACTCAGCAACAATCACAAACGGAGCTGCTTTTGGATTCAAAACACTGCAACACAGTGGAGTCCAAAGCAGAAAAGAGAGACGCTTATACAGTCTTTCAAAGAAACGGTTACCCAGGGAATTTCATCTGGAGATCTCTGATAAAACGCAATTCAACCAACTCGACTACCCAAAGCTCTAGCAAGACATCCACACTGCCATAATTCATTTCAGAGATGACTGCAAGGACACTACTAACAGCATTATATAAAAACCGGTAGATCCAAAGCAAAAAGACATACGGATTATAGCGGAAGAGTAATTGGATCGGAATTTGAAGTTCTCATCAAGGGTCACTGAATTCGACCACTAAGCGAGCCAAAAATAACAGGAGCCCCGTTGTGAGGGGGCATGCAAACCAATCAACCAGACTCTTGAATATAAACCGAAGTTGCTTATGGACAAATCAGGATGTCGACAGCAAACTACTAAAAGTGGAAGGTACACCAATTAGTCAGGCAATAGGAAGGGGGATCACGATGCGATACAGGTCACGAGCGGACGAATAAGGCTCCAATTGTAATGATTATCAACAGGTTATATCCCAAAGCTGCTCTTTGCAAACTATGTGAGCACAAGCTCGAATCGTGACGAAACTCCTTCAAGTCGATTGCCCAGCTCGGCGGAGAGGTTAACAGCCACCTGACCAATTGTTGAAGAATGCGCCCGTGCTTCCAATATTCAGTATATATTCACTTACCTTTTGTATATCTCTTAAGAATCCGTTAGTTTATTCGCTATTTATCTCCTCTCCGTTTCTTCCCAGTACATCCGTCACGTCGTTTGGGCTCCTGATGGCCATCATGTAGCAATGTTCACCAAACTCTACCTGTATTTGTGCGATCGGACCCTTGACATCAAGGCGACCATACATGAAACCGTCCGAATAAAGAGTGGAGCTTGGGAGGAGCACGGGGTGTTTGTCTACACCACGAGCAATCACATCAAGTACACGTTATTGAACGGGTACGGAGGTTTTTCCTTATTTGAAACTGTCATGCTTGGTCTTTCCGGCTATTTTATGAACAGTAAGGGTCAGTTTTGCAATTCATCCAGTTGATATTCACTCCTGTTACGTTTTGAGTCTTTTGGTAACCCTAGCTTATATCGATCAACTTATTGGCGAACTAGGAGACGCTTGTGGCACCTGATGTCAGTTGCCCTGATATGATTGGATCGGGTACTGGTCCAGTGGTGTTTATTTCAGCCTACGAAACGCTCCTGGTAACCACTAATGTTGCACCACCCAAATCCTCTGAGACTTCATTTCAGAAGGGTTTGGTAAAGATGACTTTCAACTGGTCGTTTGAGTCTTGTTCATCGGACAGTAAGTTGCGACCAGGCGTCGTTGTTTCCTCGCATCATCCTGTCTCTCTATGTCCTAAACGCTTTTTTGCGGTGGACTAAGATACACTTTTAAGTTCAGTGTCGTAGTGTTGATGTATGATAGACTACTAGCACCTGTGTCGTTCGGCGACGTAAGCAGCTAAATCTTCCGGGTATAGGTTGTCCATGCCAAGATAACCGTTTAATTTGAAGAACTTCTATGAAGTCCCACTAACAAACTTGTTTTTCTTTATTGCCTCACTGCTATGATAATCACGTTGCTCTGTCCTCATTTAGCGTAAATGTTTTGAAATCGATTCACCTGACTAACTGTTAGTTTTTCTATCGCATAAACATATTTTAGTGATAACGGCATTATTCGTACTTTGGAACTGCCGGTTTACATCACACGTGTTCGTGGCAATTCAGTCTTCTGTCTTGATCGTGACTATGCCCCCTTGGTCCTTTCGATTGATCCAACCGAATATCGATTCAAGTTGGCACTTATCAATCGTCGCTATGATGAGGTATGCCTTTCTCATGTATCCGGTAGCCCAAAGAACGTTTCAGAGTCTATAATTATTGTTTCCATGTTTAATTTTTCAGTTCTGACAAATCAGACTTTTTACCCACCCTCTTAGGTGTTGCACATGGTACGCAATTCGAATTTGGTTGGTCAGGCAATCATAGGCTATTTAGAAAAGAAAGGTTATCCGGAGGTCGCGCTACATTTTGTCAAGGATACTAGGACACGGTTTTCCCTGGCGATGGATTGTGGACAATTGGAAGTCGGACTCGAAGCTGCTCGTGCTCTGGATGACAAGGCTTGCTGGGAACGTCTGGGAGAGCTCGCACTGCGCCAAGGAAACCATCAGATTGTGGAAATGGCCTACCAACGCACGAAGAATTTCGATAAACTAACTTTTCTTTACCTGATTACTGGGAACTTGGAAAAGCTGCAGAAGATGATGAAGATTGGTGAGTACTACTTTGTCGGGTTTCTTGGCCAAAATAAACTGATTTGCTGATAGCTTGAGGAAATTAGGAAATTTTCAATGGAGATTTCGTACGGCTGAAATGTTGAGAGACACTGTACACTGATTTCTAATAAGGGCAAAACAGCTGTACAGTGTGCATGGTTTTGCATTACTTGTTAATGTAAAACCGGGGCGGGATGGCTCAGATGGGTAGAGCGTGAATTTACTAACCGTAAGGTCTGTGGTTTTCTGCCTCTCGACTTCCCCTGTCTAGGCTTGGGCAACCTGGCAGTATCTCAACCCTCGTGGTTCCTTCGGGTTGCATGGCAGCTAGGTACCGAAAGGGTGTTACAGCTGAACGATTTATTTATTATTATTTAATATAAAACCATGGGCTGTGGTTAAGTTGTGCAGAACGATGTTCGCCGTTGTTTGTAAACCAATTTTTTATAGGCCCTAAGGCAATTGAATTCGGTCAACCTTTGTTCGAGGTCGCCGATCGTTGTAAACCGTAATGCTGACTAAAACAGCGGGGTGTTGCTGGTTTGACAATCGAAGCTCAAGTTCGTTGTCCGTTTATCAAATCCGCATCACTATTAACCGGTAGTGTTGTCAGCTTGTACAGCGCTGGTCTCACCGTAAGATATGTGTTGCCTTGTAACCTTAGGCCTTGAACCGTGGAAGGACCAGCTCCATACGTAACACATTCGATCAGTTGATTAGCTTGCCAGAAAGAGTGACTAGGAGATGAATCAGTTTGCATCGCTTGTGTCTACCATTAGAGCGCACCGCCCCAGTTGGCTCTATTCAAACCCAATCGATTCGGTTGACAATCGAGTCTTCGTGTCTACTGCCTTCGTTCACCCACATCTGAAGGTATAGATAAACCGAGCACCCGAACCGACGATGGGTCACTTACCGGTTTAGTTAGTTGAACGTAAGAAACCAGACCGTGTAAGCCAGCCCATTAATGTGCCCCATTCGAGCTTGACTTTGTTACCCAGTGATTCGTTTTTCAATGTGGTCGGTAGGTCGCGAGGGGACCAATAACACGATGGATTCGTAAGGCTGCTACAACTGATATACCACAACGTGCCCAGTTTATGCGGTTGGATTAATTCGGCATAACCCATGTAATTGGACCCATTTTCCAGTGTGCTAGCAACTCACCACAGCCTCAACATATGTGACTTCTTTTTTGGAAAACGAAGTTTCTGTGTAAAGATCTGTTGTTCTTTCTGGTCCCTGGTGCTTTGGTGGCACTTACTCCGCTCCACTAAGATTTCCCTCATTCGCCATCCAATACCGCCCCAGGTGCATAATTCGTCTTGGTAAATAGGGGCATTAAATCCGGACAGCTTCCTGTCATTCTTTGCGCGCTCGCCACCAGAAGCATAATGCAACTGGTAGAGAAACACGATTTAACCGCATCTGAGATAGGTCCCGCACTGTCGCTGTCCGAAGGCTCGCCACTGCGCCTGACAATGGCGAAGAGTAGTGGGTTTGCTATTGAGAGTAATGTTGATGGGTTTTGTAGGTCTCCTTTCGTTTGCTTGCTGAACAAACTAAGAGACAAATAGTCTCATTTCCTTCTTTCCATTGTGAGGTTTAATTCACATAAGTTGATGTGAATGTGTGGCAGTGAAGCACCAGTGGTTTCATCTGCTGCTGCTGCTGCTGCTGCTGCTGTTACTGATGACGTTGTGATGATGAAATGGTCACTAAGTGCTGGTGAGTGGCCATTTGACTACAGTCTACGCAGTCCTTCTTCATACTGTTACTTCACTTCTGGTGTGCGGATCACGTAGATATTGGTGTGATGTATTATCCTTCGTTTGCGCTGCTTTAGATTGCATTATTCGTTTACTAATCTAAAACGTTGTCTGGTTGTTTAGCCGAAATTCGGAAAGACACATCCAGTCACTACCAGATTGCACTTCTACTTGGCAATGTCGCTGAACGAGTGAGACTATTGCGCAACTGTGGTCAAAGTGAGTTTTCCGCGAGTAATCCTGCGGTGTGTAAATGTGTTTTTCAACACTAAGTGGGTTCTTTGAACAACGGTCTTACTCTTGATTGGATTACTCCTCGATAGCCTTACATTATTGCCCCTTGCAACAAGTTTTGACCATCGGTGTATCCGGACACTGCGCGGGCCTGGTGGAAAAATCATATTAGTGATGATGATTTTCGAGAAGTTCCACTCCTCCTCGATGGATCATCGGCAGTCATGTACTTCGTACTCCATGTTTAAGGAAGGTGTATTATGGACTTAAGGGAAATTCGCAAGCAGTCGATGAGGCGTGTCCTTAATTTGTGGGTATGTGTGGGAAGAGTGTACTCTTAAATGGCAATGAGCTGCAAGAAAGTCACTTCTGGTAACTCGTTGTTGGATCGTGTTTAGAGAATAGGTCCTACGGGGCCTATGAAGTTTCTTAGTTTGAAGCGGAAACGTACGGGACATGCCCTCAACCATCGACGTTCCTTTTTCATTCTGCTCTTTTCGAAATTTATCCATCTGTTGATTCAGTGAGCCTATGATTTCTTTCTGCTTCCGTGCTCCAGCCAACCACATTTTTAAAAGTACGGAATCGACCGTCACTTTCGGTACTGTATTTCTATCTAACCGTGAAATGGTCCAAAATCACTAGTATTTACATTCTGATTGTTGAGCTTTATATTCTGTTCGAAACTGATATGTTAGTGAAGTACTTTGGGTAAACTTTATTGTTTATGGTTACCTTACTCTTTTTATTCGGTTTTTCACCTGGTATAAACTTACTCTACCGTGGTACTCATTAGTCGTATTCTGAACTGACGGTTATATCTCAGCTTATTTATTGGCCGTGTCGTTCGAAGCCAGGATTTTCAGCAGAGAAACCACCTAGGGTTTGATACTAATACGCTCAAGATAGGCCCAAAGTACCTCAGATATAAAGCGCACGCAATGGGTGGATGAGTCCATAACAGAACGGGGATGCTCGTGTGGTTGAACCTTTCGAGTTCCAATCACGTCCTTTATAGAACCTGCATGTTTACCGGAATCGTGTGATAATGGTATCAGTGCATATTGGATGATTGGTCCTTCGGCTTTGTGAAAACATCTTACCACTATCGTTTTTTAGGACCGCTTGCTTATTTGACTGCTGCCACACATGGATTGTCAGATGAGGCTAATGAATTGAGAGAACAACTTGGTGCAATTCAACCTACCCCGGGCTCGGAGTCCGCAGCCTCCATTGCACTGCCCTCTGTAAAGGCGAACGCTTCTTTACTCATCCCATCACCCCCAATCCTGCGTCCAGACCGTCTGGCTACCGCGGACCTAGGGGACACGCCTACTGCAGTCGAATTAAACTGGCCGCTTCTTAGCATGCAACTTGATGTGTTCGAGACAGCGATTGCGCAGAGGCGTCCAGGTGGTCTGGGAACAAATGGTGACGAGCTTGGAAAACCAGGAGCACCTACAATGGCTGGTGTCGGTCTTATGATGGATGTTGGGGATATAGATGAAGCTGCATGGGGTAAAGATGCTGTCTTAGATCTCGATGGTGAGTACTTTGCAGTCTATAATTTTTTACCTGTGGCTATTCTATACACATTCTGTTCTCCAGCTTACCTCTGACACTGACTGCACCAACGACGGTCGAGACAGCGGAACCGGGCCTACATGGTTTTGTGTGCGATTTTTTCAGCACTCGGTTTGTTTCTTGTACTTATCCCCTAAATGTTTTTGGCGGAGATTATCAACGTTAGCTGTGTATCATGCCTACATGGTTGTGCGATTTTTTTTTTCAGCACCCGGTTGGTTTCTTGTACTTATCCCCTAAGTGTTTTTGGTGGAGATTATCAACGTTAGTTAGCTATCATGTAGTGCATATTTCACTTTTTATGTCCTTATTGGTGAGACAACGTGTGTGCTAAATTCAAACGGTCAAGTGCTAAGAGTCGAGTCCGGATTGTTCAACCGCAACTCTAGTCTCTTACATTAGGTTATCCCCACCCGATACCGATTCGAACTTCCGAGTTTCCGTTACGCTCATCTAGGGATATTTATAGTTCGGACTGCGACTAAAAATTCTGGTAAAACCGAGCCTGGATAAAGCTTTACCGGGAATACAAGGATTTTCGGCCCTGCAAGTCGTTCTTATCAGTCTCAGGACTGTTGAAGGATTCTGTGTCCGTCGGGCGTTCTTTTTTCGTAACCGTCACAACCGTTATTGTCCTAAAACCCAGTCTCCATCATTGCTTTAATATGCTCACTTACAACTGTCTGCTTTAGTGGCATACTTGTTGATGGTCTTACAATAAAGCTGTATTTTTGTCACCTAGAAAGCGAGGAATTTGCTGATGCGGTCGAGGATGGCGATGTCCTGGGTCGCTCGGACGATTTGGCCGCTGCACAAGAGGAAGGCTGGGACCTCGGTGATGCCGATCTGGAGCTTCCAAAAGAGTTGCAAACCAGCGGAGCACTAAATTCGATGTCTGGTGAAAGTTTTGTGGCACCTCCTACTGGTCGTTTGCCTTCGCAGTTCTGGAGCGACAACTCTAGACTCCCCCATGATCATGTCATGGCTGGAAACTGGTCGGAAGCAATGCGTCTGCTGAATTCCCAAGTAAGCAGTACTCTTGCTAGTTAACGGACATTTTATTTACCGACTTTATGGCATATTTTTCTTGCTCTATCCTGTTCAACCTTGCAGGTTGGCGTCGTAGACTTTGGACCATACAAACCGTTGTTCCTATCAATGTTCAGTGGATCGCGATCGGTTGGAACTGGAATCCCTTCCACACCTTCCGTTTTTATATATCCTCAAAGAAATTGGTAGGTTTCCCCTCAGTACCTATCTTTAGATGATTTTTCGCCCTCCTCGTCCTAAGTCCTGCTGTTCGAACCGGTCCAAAATAACAACGAGAGTTTTTTGGGTGAAATAAGGGGATACGATTTCACTTTTAATAGACAAAGATATACCAACATCCTAATGGGCATGCGACGACTTTCCTTGTTTGAACCAGAAGACCAAGCCTTTATTCAGCACAACTCGCCTCAGTCGATGGTCTAGATTTTCTAGTTCGTTTGTGTATCATATCTGGGTAACAACGTTCGTCAAATGAACACAAGCGTTTGCCCGCAACAGCATCTGGAAGCCAATCAAATTTCTCCCGAGAGTACACTTTTAAAGAATGATCAGATTCCTGGCGGACCGACAAACCTGACCCTTCCTCGAACTGTACAATTTACCACTCAGCTCAGTGGTTATGACTGCATCTCAGTCGGGAATTCGATAAATTCTTTGCGTATCTTATCCGTAGTGTTAAGCGGAATTCCGCACCGATACCATTTTGCTGCTCGCAGTTAGGCGCCTTTACTACCAAGAAGCCAATCCCGCTTATTATTGGCCAGAAGATCAGGCTACTTGCCACTCCAGTATCAAGTCGAGCTTTGATTAACCGAAGGTATGAACCCACAAGCCAATCATCGCTGAGTGTCCGCTGAATGCCGGTTACCAGTGGTGCATTCAGGAGCCATTGGAATTTCCAGTATTGTTGCCTCCTAAAGGACGCCCTGTGCATGTTTTTGACCTGGTTTTGAGTGTTCAGTACACGTTGTGCACCTCTAGTGGATGTTTTTACGAGAACACTAACTTGGAAGCTCCAATCCCAGGACTGAGCTGAGGCATCACCGTTATTACAATTGATGGACCACAACCCACGATGTCTATCGAATTTAATCATCCCCGGAATTATTACTGAAGCAGCAAAACCGAATCGAAAAGAACACAACTGAAGTTCACTGAATCACTGACTCAGAGACTGAATGTCCAGACGTCAGCAGACGGCACCAGTGAGTCCTCTGTGTATTCAGCTGATACAGCCACACCCTCAATCACGATGTTCACATTTGACCCACTGACTCCAGGTTTGAGCCGACGCACTGTCGCGTTCCATTGATTCAACCAGGCCAGAACCATAGGACACTGTAGTTGCAAAACGTGCCCTGGAATCGGAAGTGAACCGCGTAGTATCGGAGGCCGTTCTCATTCTCCCAGGCTACCGACCTGTGCTGCAGTAGTGCATATTTCACTTTTTATGTCCTTATTGGTGAGACAACGTGTGTGCTAAATTCAAACGGTCAAGTGCTAAGAGTCGAGTCCGGATTGTTCAACCGCAACTCTAGTCTCTTACATTAGGTTATCCCCACCCGATACCGATTCGAACTTCCGAGTTTCCGTTACGCTCATCTAGGGATATTTATAGTTCGGACTGCGACTAAAAATTCTGGTAAAACCGAGCCTGGATAAAGCTTTACCGGGAATACAAGGATTTTCGGCCCTGCAAGTCGTTCTTATCAGTCTCAGGACTGTTGAAGGATTCTGTGTCCGTCGGGCGTTCTTTTTTCGTAACCGTCACAACCGTTATTGTCCTAAAACCCAGTCTCCATCATTGCTTTAATATGCTCACTTACAACTGTCTGCTTTAGTGGCATACTTGTTGATGGTCTTACAATAAAGCTGTATTTTTGTCACCTAGAAAGCGAGGAATTTGCTGATGCGGTCGAGGATGGCGATGTCCTGGGTCGCTCGGACGATTTGGCCGCTGCACAAGAGGAAGGCTGGGACCTCGGTGATGCCGATCTGGAGCTTCCAAAAGAGTTGCAAACCAGCGGAGCACTAAATTCGATGTCTGGTGAAAGTTTTGTGGCACCTCCTACTGGTCGTTTGCCTTCGCAGTTCTGGAGCGACAACTCTAGACTCCCCCATGATCATGTCATGGCTGGAAACTGGTCGGAAGCAATGCGTCTGCTGAATTCCCAAGTAAGCAGTACTCTTGCTAGTTAACGGACATTTTATTTACCGACTTTATGGCATATTTTTCTTGCTCTATCCTGTTCAACCTTGCAGGTTGGCGTCGTAGACTTTGGACCATACAAACCGTTGTTCCTATCAATGTTCAGTGGATCGCGATCGGTTGGAACTGGAATCCCTTCCACACCTTCCGTTTTTATATATCCTCAAAGAAATTGGTAGGTTTCCCCTCAGTACCTATCTTTAGATGATTTTTCGCCCTCCTCGTCCTAAGTCCTGCTGTTCGAACCGGTCCAAAATAACAACGAGAGTTTTTTGGGTGAAATAAGGGGATACGATTTCACTTTTAATAGACAAAGATATACCAACATCCTAATGGGCATGCGACGACTTTCCTTGTTTGAACCAGAAGACCAAGCCTTTATTCAGCACAACTCGCCTCAGTCGATGGTCTAGATTTTCTAGTTCGTTTGTGTATCATATCTGGGTAACAACGTTCGTCAAATGAACACAAGCGTTTGCCCGCAACAGCATCTGGAAGCCAATCAAATTTCTCCCGAGAGTACACTTTTAAAGAATGATCAGATTCCTGGCGGACCGACAAACCTGACCCTTCCTCGAACTGTACAATTTACCACTCAGCTCAGTGGTTATGACTGCATCTCAGTCGGGAATTCGATAAATTCTTTGCGTATCTTATCCGTAGTGTTAAGCGGAATTCCGCACCGATACCATTTTGCTGCTCGCAGTTAGGCGCCTTTACTACCAAGAAGCCAATCCCGCTTATTATTGGCCAGAAGATCAGGCTACTTGCCACTCCAGTATCAAGTCGAGCTTTGATTAACCGAAGGTATGAACCCACAAGCCAATCATCGCTGAGTGTCCGCTGAATGCCGGTTACCAGTGGTGCATTCAGGAGCCATTGGAATTTCCAGTATTGTTGCCTCCTAAAGGACGCCCTGTGCATGTTTTTGACCTGGTTTTGAGTGTTCAGTACACGTTGTGCACCTCTAGTGGATGTTTTTACGAGAACACTAACTTGGAAGCTCCAATCCCAGGACTGAGCTGAGGCATCACCGTTATTACAATTGATGGACCACAACCCACGATGTCTATCGAATTTAATCATCCCCGGAATTATTACTGAAGCAGCAAAACCGAATCGAAAAGAACACAACTGAAGTTCACTGAATCACTGACTCAGAGACTGAATGTCCAGACGTCAGCAGACGGCACCAGTGAGTCCTCTGTGTATTCAGCTGATACAGCCACACCCTCAATCACGATGTTCACATTTGACCCACTGACTCCAGGTTTGAGCCGACGCACTGTCGCGTTCCATTGATTCAACCAGGCCAGAACCATAGGACACTGTAGTTGCAAAACGTGCCCTGGAATCGGAAGTGAACCGCGTAGTATCGGAGGCCGTTCTCATTCTCCCAGGCTACCGACCTGTGCTGCAGCAGGTCATCAAATTCCACCGCAATCAATGGCCGCGTACCTGCCCAAAAGATTCCAACGGTCGTGACGCATTATCGCTAGCCGATGGATGTCTTTTATGTTCAGAACGCGTCATTTCAAAGGAGTTACAACCAGCCGTACTGAATCAGTTTCACGAACACCCGGTGGCAAAAACGATAAGGCCCACGCTCGAAGTTATGTCTTCTAGTCTCTAATGAACTCCTAGATTGAGCACGTCTTCAAATCTTGCTTATTGTGTGGTGAAGCGTTCAGTTCACCGGTGAAAACCAACGTACGGTCCTGGCCGCGACTGACCAAACGTTGGTCTCGTCTGCACACCAATTGTGCTGGTCCGATTGGTGGCCAATACCTTTGGTTATGGTCGACAGTTACAGCAAGTGACCGTAGATTCTTCCAGTGAACAGCCCCACAACTGCCTTTACAGTTCCCACGGTTATTCAGTCGCTTTGGAACGCCAGAGACGACCGTATCCGAATCTACAATCACTTCACGTCATCAGCGTTCGCTGTACGTGTTTTTGGTCTGGTTTTGGACGTTAGTACACGTACACCTTTCGTGGTTGTTTCGACAGGAATGCTGGCTTGGAGGGCTCAGAACGGGATGTATGCTGAGAAAATACCGTTATTACAAATATCTGGTACAATATCCAGTATTCATTCCTCCTTTCACAGCTCTAGTACACTTTGAAAGTGGTTGCATATTTTTACAATTCCCAACGAATTTTACACTGGATGACACGAGACTCACCCGTATAAAAAGGTTTGCGACTATAATTGACTTTTTTCAGGCTCGAAATTCACTTCTGCAGTCAAACAAGTGCTACATAATCCACACTTGGTTAGTGTTAGCGTATACAACTGTACAAGACTGATTTGTGAGGAGCCATATTACACCATCATTTTACTTTCAATGACGTCAGTACTTCACCAAAGTCTAAGGCATAGCTTAGTTGACTAACAGTACCGCAGTTTACTGTGGTATTTTGGAAAGCAGCGTCGACACACATGTGTTTTGAGGGGAATTTTCCCAGCGGAAGCGTGTGCAATTTTTCGTGTAAGAACAACATTGCCTCATCGAATATCTCAAACCATAAAAAATTTCGCGAGACGATTATTTCGCAAAATTCTTCGGGCACCGTACTAGCTCATGAGTCGTTCAAAAGCACCATACAATTCTCGGTGAATTATTTCTATGTATCAAATACGGGCGTAGTATACCGCTGTTCACAATCAGTTCATTCCCAAGTGGACTGTAACTTGATTTACTATTGAGGTATTGCTTGGTTGGACTGCAGGTCAGTTCGTTTGGCACTCTGACGATGAAACATTGTAGTCGAATCCGCTTGTCCTAGCACCCACTCAGCGGCTTCGCTTATCTAGGAGACAGTTCTAATCACGGTCAAACTACTGCCAGTTTCCATGAGAAATAACTGGGCTAGCCAGTGTCCGTAATTCCTACCTCATAACCACCATCGCACTCTGATTAAACAGTTCACGTCGGGGTCACGGGGTTATCCAGGTGAAACATTTACGAATTCCGATAACCGAACTATTATTTGATTGCTCAACGAATTGTCCACCCACTTGTGTTAGTTTTACTTTTAGAACCTCTGAATTTTTGCTACAGTTTCTTTCCTTTCGTTATGTGAAAAAACCTTATGGGTCTGGCAGTAACAAGAATTCTGTACTCTGTTGTTGGTTTCTGTCATGCTGTCCTGGAATAAGACCCATTTAGTGACCAGAATCGAGGGGCTGTACTGCACAGTTCACTCAGAGCTGAAGTTAGACGGTGGCGGAACAATGGTAGGTCTTGACTCTCAGATGGGTTTCTGTTCAGAGCATTTTAGCTTTATCATAATGATAACGACCATACTATTATGGGTACTTACGCACCGTTCTCAACTTCTCCCATTGTGCTTCAGGAAAAAGACATCCATGAACTCTGCTCTTCCCACCGTGGTCATCACTTTGAATAACCTCATTAACCGTCTTCAGTCGGCCTACCAGCTTACCACGAAAGGAAAGTTCCAGGACGCCGTCGATCGGTTTCGAGCAATTCTTCTCTCCATCCCTCTCCTAGTCGTTGACTCGACTAGTGAAGAGTCTGAAGCCAAACGGCTGATCGGTGTTTGCAAGGAGTATATCCTCGGATTATCGATGGAACTATTCCGGAAAGCCATGCCAAAAGATACTTTGGCAGATCAGGTATGTTATCTCAGCACGTACGCGATATTTGGAAGCTTCCATTATGCATACTGCCAAGTAGTTATCATCTCTTGTGTGATCCGAACGTGAGTTTACATTGAACAGGTATGCTGCAACACAACCTGACACATGATAAATTCCTATTAACCGTCATAATTTGGAAACTCCTTCGTATTTAGCCTACTTCGCGCGTTACTCAGGAGTTGTTTTTCATCAGCGGATCATATTCTCTCCCTTGGTATCGATCAAAGGTTAAAACACGAGCTATGAAACTTCTTACAATAAGTCCGTCATCTCCCTAACCTAGGCTTTGACGACCCGTCTTAATCATATCGCTTGTGCTCAACGCGTCGTACCACTGGTAACTGATGGCAACGTGGTCTATTTTCATTCGGGATCGATTCATTGGTGTAAACAGCGTGTGCTCACAATGGCTTAAGACACGCTTTCGCCCGGCCCCCATGTTGTATGCAGCGAGTAAGATGAACCGTTTGATGGCACCATACGACGGTTGATGTGGCATGGGGTTATCTTTGATTGAGTTCAGGGTTCTACCCGGGCTGGGATATTGCCAGGGAGTTCACACTAGACAGAAGATCATTGTGTGTTAATGCATTAATCAACAGATGCCTGTTAGATTGGTGAAGATACATCCATCTGCTCTTTTGAGCAGGTCATTTGTATTCGTTGATCCTTCGAGCAATGCTATGAGCTGTGGTCAGCTCCGATTCTGAATTGCATCGCTGACGCCTGAGTGCTAATTTTCTACCATTCTGTCTTTCACTGTCCGATTTTTCGTAAGGTTTCGTTCAATGAAATGTGTAAGCATTAAGAATATAATCTATGATTGGTGCACGCAACGACAATTGGCTGATTCCAACAGCAAAGAACGCATGCACGATAGACCGATTAATGTGACTTACGCTCGATATTTCAGATGGTTGCCATTTGTCGGTTTGATACTCAGCTGTGATATGACTTCAACTTGTAGAGTGAAGCTAGGTAGTACGAGTAAAAAGCGCGCGGTAACTGGTTGATTGAAAGCAATCGCAGACAGCCCTCAGAGCCCGTATTTTAAAACTGTGGGTCTTTTGATGTGACAGAGTCAGGGAAGGCGTTCAGAGAATTAGGCAGCTGAAGTAACCAGCCAGACATATGCAAGCTACCTTCTTGTGTCTACCAGTGGTGCAGAGCCTACTGGCACTTAGTGTAAATAGATGGGGGTTTTCGGGTTAGAGAATGTCTGCGCGTAACATATTTTAACTACGCAGCTAGGAGCCTGGTCATTTTCCCGTTCAAAACATAATAACAGGATGATAGAACATATTTCCGAGCAAGTAGACGAGTCAATAGTCCCGATCAGATCACCTGTTCTCCGGAGAGCGGGCTAGCCTCTCAAGGTAAGGAAGAAATGACGAAGACACTATTCGTACACGTGCTTAATACCACTTGGCATACCGTCAACGAAAAGCTCTACCCTCGTAGATTCGGAGCGCATTCCTATTACGTTGTCAATCAACTTCGGTGGCTCGGCTGTGTCCCGAACATGTCAAAACACTGTCTGTAGAGACTAGTACTCTTCGTAACTCCTTGAGAATGCCGCTAACTTTTCCCTGAGTTTATGGAGAACAGCTGAATTATGGCCCGTTAAAATGGATTAACCGTAGAACAACCGTGCTCTAATTTTTATAAACCACTGTTGTGTTATCAGCATAAATGAAGCTATGCCGGTACAGTTCAAAGCAATCTAATCATCTCTGATGAAGCATACTACTTATAAGGCTGCTGTAAGCTCTTCGATAACCCACGACCAGTTTCGTTCTTCTTGGGGCTCCTCAGGTTGGTGAAGTACCCGAGTTTTCGCCAGGACTATGTTCTACTTTAGCTTAAGGTATAAGGGTGTGTTTAAAAAACCAGCTGCGTAATGAGAATACCTTAAGCCTAAAGCACAAAACAACTATAGGTAATTCATGTTTCCTAGGTATAACTTCTGCGGGGTCAAGTTCACTATCTAAGGCCGCCTGTCGTGGAAAACCAAGACTCACGTCTGCAATTCTATTTCTGACCACACTGCCCAACAGAGGTACTTATCACGGTTTTCGGTTCACTTGCTGTAAGTAAGGTAATGCTACTACTTCATGTATCGTGATGAGTTATTCATAAATAATTTATGTTTGTCTTGACTGAAACAACCCATGGAGCGTAATTTGATTCACCCTGTGTAGAACGCCAGGTGCTGGCAAGGTCCTTTCTTAGTTAAACACTGGTAGTTCAGTCAAGATGCCACAACATTACTTCTTGCAATTTGGGAACATTATTAGCCCTTGATTAAGACAATATAATTGCTAGTTGCGTTCATTCGACTCCCGACCTAAAGCTGTCACCTTGTCGTGGTAGTCGGGCTTCTTTGGTGCACTGCTCCTGTGAGCTATACTGGCTGGAACTCAGTTTGTAAAGGTTCAACGATGTCAGGAAGGCCAACGTGGAGGAGCCAGACGAAGAACAGCGAGTCCCCATACTGCAAGTAATCGTAGTACGAGGCGGTCTAGAGGTTAAGTCGTACTGTCCTCTGCGGTAGGAGTGTGAAGGCAGTAAGGCTTTTCCTACAGACCGAATGGGGCTCCTTGACCGTCATCCCGGTCTTCAAAAAGGGAGCGAGAACGTGATCCAAAAACCATCGTTGTATCAGCCTGCTATCCGTCGCATTGAAAGTGCGTAGATTTATGGATTATCGGGAGTGAGATCGAGAGAGATCCTTCCCAAATGCAAACGATTTTAAATAACCTAAATAACTCTGCCGCATGATTTGGCATGCGTTTCACACTTACAAAGTGTAAAATGCTGCAACAGGACTGGGTTGGATCAACCCCAAACCTCATGCAGGCGAGCCAATCGACGTTGTAGGTAAATTTTTTGGCCTGGAGTTGTTCCGGTGAACTAGCTGCAGATGAGGTTATTTCTCGAATCGGAAAATCAAAGCAGTTTTAGCCAACCTCTGACACCAATGGCGCCGACGCGATTTCAGTTCTTCTTTCGAGGGCAGAGTTCACACCGCGATGGTGCGATCCATACTGCTTTCTGGATCAGAGACGTGGCCTCTACAAGCAGAGGATATACGGAAGATGTTAGTGTCTAACCATCGGTGTCTCCGAAAACTACCGATCGTTTATCAAGCTTTTTTTGAAACGATGACTTCTCAGTCGATTCCAAACCTTTTCAAAAGGAAGTGGTTATATTTGAACAGAGGAAATGTGTGCATATGATTACTAATCAGTTTCTCAGGTTACCACAATTACATCACTACTCCCTTTGTTGTTCTCTTCTTTGTTAGGTCCGGAATGTTGAACTGGCCTGTTACTTTACTCATTGTCGTTTGGAAACACCACATCTTATCTTGACTATACGCACAGCGTTGAATTTGTTGTATAAACTAAAAAACTTCCGCTCTGCTGCTGCGATGGCCCGTCGCCTACTGGATCTCGCTCCCTCAATTGAAGTGGCCACGCAAACAAGGAAGATACTACAGGCTTGTGAAGCGGTAACACCGTTTGAGGATGCACATCCACTTACCTATGATCCACGAAATCCTTTCGAAATTTGTGCAGCAACCTATGTACCCATCGTTAGGTATGTATTTAGTGTGTTTCTCTTTTTGTACTGATAGGTCCCTGATCCTGTTCTTTTCCTGTGTTTCTATTGATCACTTCCAAGGTTGGGAGCATCTTGTAATCTTGCCTCCTTCGGACTGCGTGGGATGGATGCATTAGTTCCAGTTTTACCCAGAAACCGGATCTGAGCTGGATCGCACTACACACGGTTGATTTAGGAATGTCTACTTCCAGCGTTTTACTTATATTTTCGACTATGACACCATCCATTTTTAGTTGATTAAGAGGGCATTAAGTGGTGTTAAGCTGGCCTAATACTTTTCACTATTTGGGTATGGGGTCGGTTCTACTCTTGATATCTCTCTGTTATCAATATAGCCCATACAATTGGTGCTCTAACCTTACTAGTTAGTTAATCTTGCACTTTTCAGTCAAATCATTCGGAGATTTCTTCCTCTTCCTTAATTTCTGTATCAGCATCGCCGACAGAAGGTTCGTTTCGTCTCCGTTATTGGATGGTGGAGGTAGTTAGTGTAAAGGACCTGAATCGCGAGCTTTATTACGCGGTCCTTATGTCACCGAGTGCTAGCTACTGGGAGCTTCATATCCTATAATTATTAGCGTTTCAGGGATAGGAGGTAGTGTAAACTAGGCGACTACCGGCGAGATATTTGCTGTCGTTATGCCACCAGATCACATGGGTTGTGTAGGTGGGTGTTCAATGAGCTAGACGATTCGGCCAAGCGCACAATCAGACGCACTTCTAATTGGTGCCGGTCACTGTTTCGCGTATTTATGTAATGTACGCTCAGCGGGATCAACATTCCACTGGAATTCGCCTTTCGAGCCAGCACTTCTGTTGCTTTATTGACTGACCCATTCTGACTGGTTAGCACTCGGGTGACCACTTAATCCTAACCTGGGTTTTCGAGACTGAAATGGCTCCAGTGTGGTTCTTGTTTTTTGATGGGTTGATTGCACAGTCGTCATTAGCTGAAAGTACCGCGTACTGTCGTATGCATCATCCGCACAGGTTGTGTTGCAGAAGGCCAGCTGAACTGCTCTTCGAAGTGTTCGGCCCATCTCTCCAGCCAACGTTTTTGCGGGTGAATTAATGAGCCATCTTTTTCACTTACCGTTTCGCTGACCGTTGCTTTCCTTGGGCCAGTCGATATAGGACGAGGCTGTTTCCGGTGGCAAAAGCCTTCTCCAGCTCCCGAGCTTTCGATGTTCACCAGAGCTCTTGGTCTTTCCTTAGACTCTTCACTATTTGGCGTTTGAGGGACTTTCGTGCGCCGTCGAACTCGTTGCCTGCTGGTATGGCTTTCCTGGTATCAATCAGGACTAGGGATCTCGATGACATCCAGTTGTCCTGTGACCGAATTGGAGAAGTCGGAACTAAACGCCGCTAACGTAGCGCCTTTCACATTTTGCAACGCTTCATCCGTATGCTCACTGCCACCACAGTACTGTTTTACTGTGGAAAGTTGTTGGGCTAGCTCAGATCGATACTACTGAAATATGGTAGTTCTTTGAAGACAGTGGATTGGCATACTTCTTGCTGACTTTCCAGAGGCTGAATGGAAACGAACTATCAGGCGTGCACGCGTCATGGCGTGATCGGAATCAAGTGATGTGCCCCAGAGGGAACGGCAATCTTGAATTGTGGCTCTCCACCGGTGGCTGATGGCCATGTGGTCCAACTGTGTCCACGGTTGATTTGCAATTGGTGGCCGCCGGGTTACGTGGTGCGAACGTTTATTTTGAAAGTTCGTACTTGTCAGAAACAGTTCATGATCAATACAACTGAAAGGGTCGATCTTCGTTGTCTGTGCGGCGAGCACCGACTCCAAATCGACCGCCCAGGTGTGATATCAAGGTGCTCAGACGACCGACTTGAGAATTCATATCGCCTACAGGGCCTCGATCGCATAGTCTCTTTAATTTGTTCTGGCCCCGAACACATTATTTTGTGCAGTCGGCCTAGTTTGATACACTGATCGAATCTGTTGTGTCTGTCGGCGCCTTCTCTCTCCTAAGCGTCTGACATTTGGCCTTTGTAATTATTTTCAAAACAACTGGAATTCTAGGTTCATTTTGTAACCTTTTGTTGTCCTTTACAGAGGTAGCGACCACGTGAAAGATCCACTTAGTGGAGCCTGCTACGTTCCAGCGATGAAAGGCCAACTTTGTCGCATTACTAAAGTGAGTTACGTTGTTCCATAGTGAGTGTTCCATCAGTGAGTGTACCAACAAAATTGTTCATTTCCGTACAATTTTACTGCACATCTCCCAGATCTCAGAGACAACCTCCTCGTTGCACACGATTGTTGTGTAGTACTGCAGTTTCTAACCTAGTTTTCTCTTGTAGCGGGTTTTTAACCATCGTGAATTCCGTCGTTTTCATGCTTTATGCATTAAACCTAATGCATAGACGCTTTACGGAACCTCTGCGCGTTGGAGTATCTGTAACTATACCAAGGCGACAACTCTCGTTTCTCTCTTCCGTTAATGCGATCAAAGTGTCTCAAGACCTCCTTGTCCGCAGTTAGCTAACTTTAGAACATGAATGCAAAACTTGTGAACTTGGAAAAGAACGTCTGTTCCCCGATTATACGACGAATGTTACAGTACTATGCGTCTTGTTCAAGGTACTTAAATAGTTGACTTTGGTGATGGATTACTGTTGTTTGGTTGTGCATAGATAATAATCGTTCAGCTGTAACACTCTTCCGGTGCCTAGCTGCCACGCCACCGGAAGCAAGCACGAGGGCTGGGATACTGTCAGGTTGCCCAGAAATCGAGGTGTAAAGGTCGCGCTCGAACCACAGACCTTCCGGTTAGTCAGTTCTCTCCATAACCGCTGAGTCATCTCGCTCTGATTGTGATTAGAATTGAGATACAACCTGGAATAAAGACTAGCTGATACTGGGGATAGCACACTTACCAACGTCGCACTTTGACTAGGAAGTAGAAACTACGTTATGTTGAAACTGCCTCGCAGACTAACTGATTAATATAAAGGGTATGGTTAGCCTTTCACTAAGTTGCAACTTGTAGCGGGGAAACCAACACATTCCTAGACCTGTCGTGTAACATGAACCAACTGGAGTAAACCAGAGTAAAACTGGTTCGTACTCGCGTACTCGCCGAGCTGAGAAATTCAATATACTTGCTTAGCTCTGTGAACGCATCAACGACAACCCGTTTCGCGTGAACCATTGGTAGTGGCGATCCTTTGGTTGACTTCACTGACTAGTGTTCAATCCCTAAACATGCGGTTTTCATGCGTTACATACTGATCTCCCGTTTCTTGTTGTACAGGCCACTGAAATCGGACTGGATTCCCATGGATTATGTATCAATTCTTCTCGACAGTCAAGATAACCCTGGGACGGCAAATGATCACTCTTGCCTGTTTTCTACTGCTTTTTGTGTCGCGGTGTCGGCCAAAGGTGGACAGTGCGCATGCAATTCGTCTATCTGCCCTCGCATTGCTCCCCTCTGTCTTGTTTCTGAACCGCGTATAAACCGATTTTTTCAATCCTCTTTCTTCATGAAAATTTGTGAGCGGTGCGCCTGTTACCAACCGTACCGGTATCAGACTGTGATCAATGTATCCGCTTTACTTTCCTAATAACTTTCCTGTTTCGATGTCTCAACATCGACTGTTTTTCTCGCCGATCAATCACGTTGGTGAATTCACTGTCTTTTTCTCACAAATGAAGCATCTAGACTTCTGTGCCCTCTGAGACGACTGCGAGTTTCATTTTCCTGATAACCGTTTGCCCCTGAACTCCAGGGTTAGATCTATGCAAAATGTCGTTCCAGCCGATTTATCGTACATGTAACAGCTGCATCGCAGGGCAGTGCTTAATAATGGTGGTTTCCATTCCGCTTGCGGAAGATGTTACTCGGGGAAGTTATTTGTAGCGCGCAAGTATGAATCAGATGCGCCTGAACACCGCGAAAGGATGTAGTTCGACGACAGTTTACACATCATACAAAAGTGGTGTATCGCTGAGTTCATCTGCCCCTATTTTAGTACTAAACTGGTGGTTCAGTGACGACACCGGAATGGTTCCATAGCACAAGTTGGTGAGTGACAGCAAAACTGCAACATATAACCGAAGCGAGAAAACAGCATAATTGATGTGACCAGCAAAGGGCATTTAGGAAGGTACAGGCACAAAAAATATTGACTTTTGGTTTACGAGAGAACGACACTTACGTCAGCAGCGGTACTATGCAAAAGCACAAGACAGCGGAAACCTCAGCGGTTAAACAGCACACGCGCGTGTAGCATAATCTCATTTCGTGGGGATTTCGCACAGAGAATGCACTGATTCTGTTAGACAGGTATCAAATCTAAAATCTAAAAATTATCCCCGCTCAGTTGGGTTGATTTAGTGATCGGGCTGCGCGGGCTAATCACCACCGAATAGCTCAGTGCCAAGAAACGACTAACAAAACCAAGAAATTCCAAGAATGATTTTTGAAGGTAGTAGGTCATCCGTTTTTTGTACTGCGCCACGCTAAAATATCACAATGAATGAAGTAGATACGGCTGCCGCGGTATGTAAACTCTGTGTGGGATGGAATAACGATACAAAACTCGAAACAACTTCACACCTGCCTGCGCCTAATAACTCATCATAACGGACAAAACTAAGGGTTGGATATTTCTAGTGGAAGTCTCCCATTTCAAAGCTGCGTCGTATGCTGATTCCAAGAAATCAGTAGGGGACACTCTAGAGCGCAGATACCCAAGAAAATTTGATAGCGAACAAGGTGATATGGTACTAGAGCTAATATAGTGCGGATTACTCCGCTCCCCTCCAAAGTTTAAATGCTCTCCCTACACATCGTCCGGGGCAGCTGTTACGTGATTTTATGACCAATTTTGAAGCATCTTATTGTATGCTGGCTGCAAAACTGCATCAGTGGAGTCCATAACTGTCCGCAGGCTGTGCTTGATAGGCACGACGCGGTAAGATCGAGGTCCAGCTAGGAACAACCCGCGATTTCTCAATTCACCCGGTCTGGAGTTGCGTAAGCTGACAGTATCAGTTCGCGTGCGCCGAAAGAGGATGGGAACTGAAGAGTCTGGTTTGATTAATTATATTAGTCGTCGAACAATGTTGACGACTACCTTCTAGATGGTTTGTCAGCACTCATCCATTTACAGACCTGTTATTCGGATTGTTCGCGGGACCTCCCGTTGAGGAGAACGTCATTTGCAGCTTCTCTGAGGTCTAAATAGGACGTCAATGCCTGTGTGGGACCGCACTGATAGTAATCCTCATAGGCTAAATTAGGATGTCCTCCGTGTGAGACATACATAAGTCGTGCTTCGCATTTCGAGCACTTAGTCCTGTAAATGGAGATAATCTTTTTTGAAAAGCCGAGAGGCGCTGGAGCTGCTTCATCCTTATTAGGAATCGTTAGCAGTGCGCATCTGAACGAACTCCGGACAGCTTCGGGTCCATGACCTCCCACTTATCAGTTTGAACACAGCAGTTCAGCCACAAGCAGCTGATCAGCATTGTTGAACTCACTAAGACGGTGTAGAGCTACCCATTCTTCAGTCACAGATTACGTGTTGAATGGCTTTTCGAGTGACAACCCGGGTGCAAATTTTACCCGTGAAATTATTCTCCCTCTGAGCTCACGTTCATTCCGAATAAGGATGAACCAGCTATTGTGCTCCTCGGTATAAATTGGCTTCACTTGCGGGACGAAATCTCATTTAAAAGTCACCAAACCTCCCCACATTACCACCACTAAGTTTTGAATCTGATAAGCCTGAACCAATCCACAGAGGCTTCATTCTATGCTGCAGATTTTCCAGACAAGACGACGAAGGAATCCTGTCTGTTTCAAATAGTAAATGTACCCAACTTACTATCAAACGACCGAAAACCATTATTATTATTGACTTCTGCTAAATGGTTTCTCCACATAACAGGTATGAGGCTGAAACACCACCTCTGCAATCCCTACAATGGATTTCATACCAGATCTTGAGCGACGAGGACCGATCTCGTGGCCTCTTCCCAGGATCGCATCAACTGATGAAAAACGCGTGCACGATTTGGACTAGTAGTGCACACAGAGACCACGCAGTTGTCCGAGATCTGCGTTCACTACTGTCCGTACTTTACCTCGGCTCCGTAGGCGAACTGAGGTAACTTAGACACACTAGTTCTCGGACAAACTATCTCTACAGCATTGCCACAGTCCTAGTGGCCCCTTTACGAAAGTAGAATGTAACCAACAGGAGACACTGAGTTAGATTCAATGATTACGGTTGATGTTATGGTAAAACTACTAGGGAATCGATGATTCGACCCTGCCGGAAGGGAGTTTACATTTTGGGTGTCTTGACTGCAACCTCTCTATTGGTAGTGCGTGGAATTTTCGTCCTGTAAGTGAAGCCAATCTATGTTGAAATGTCGAGAAGCACTTTACAGCTGTTTCATCCTTGTTGAGAATCATCAGTAGTGCGCGTCTCACGAAACTCGAGAGTCCTGAATCTGCGACCTTCCGGCTAGCGTTCTAACTATTAGCCGGGAGGTCGCGGGTTCGGGCCTCTCCATTTTCGTGGGATGCGCACTACTGATGATTCTCAACAAGGATGAAACAGCTGTAAAGTGCTTCTCTACTTTTCAGAACTGACTGGCCTCACTTACAGGACGAAACCTCCACAACCCCTTTATTCTTTGAATGCTGGTCTCATTTAGTTGCCCAAACAAACAAAACTTTACTATACTCACCTTGACCCGAAAAGCTCTAAAAATATCCGACTCTTAGATTGCCATGACATTAATGGCACTGGGAATCCAGAACTCATCAGGGCGTCCAGGTTAATACTACTTCAAAACCTCGTTATCAGATTTTCCAACGACTCATTACCAAAGCTAAGCGCAGCACTTGAATGTTCTTTGACGCATATTAGTGGGTTGGGCAACCATCCATGCTTATACATTGTTCGTAGCATCCAGCTGCTCGGTCGTGATTTCGAAATTTTGCGATACGCTGCCGCCGGTTGCAATCGACTGTACTTTGAATTCCATCGAAACCAAGTAACTAATCTTTGAATCAGTTAGGCACTTGTGTCCCGAATTACAGCGCACAGTTTTGGAGTCAAACACGCGGGTGTGAAGGCATGGATGTTTATAGAACAATGCATCCGCTGAGTGAGATCAGCTTCCAATCCTTGTGAATGATATGAACTCAAACCTTCAAAGTTTGCATCGAGATTTACCGGTAACGGATGACTAGACTAGTCCTATATTAGTAAACAGTAAACTCGTGTTTTGACAGACGAAGTTTTATCAGCAAATATATAATGATATCACAGTACGTGTCCGATCACAGTGAGATCAAAATTTGTAAAAAAGTGGACTTTGGTTCCTACGAGATAGATCACTTCGCTAGATTTGTGAACCCTATCAGCCTCTAAGCGCAATTAGGTGCAAATAGGAAGATAAAGAACACTTCATCCTGTGTCAAAAGCATCTGTTTGAAGGTGGCGCATACAGTCAGAACAAGCAAGGATAAAGGCGGCTGTTTGGATTAGGAACTGCACAACTTCGCTTTGGCAAACTGGTTGGCCAATCTGACAACTTCATCCAAGCAGTCAACACGTGACCCAACAGCTTGCGCTGAAGATTCCTTGCCACCGCCTTTGCCGTCTATCAGTGAAGAAACACTGGCGACCCACTCGTTTGCCTTGAGTCCACGATCTATCAGATTCTGGAAGGTAGATAAAGAGGAGTAATTTTCAAAATTTTCCTCAACGAGCTGCACCATCGGGAACAGCAAAAAGGCTGCGCACAGAGAACAAGCTATTAACATGGAAATACCTCATTTCGTCCCGATTATTTTTGCCTGACATGGAAAGTAAAAGAGTAGCGCTGATGTTGATTTAGGAGTTTCCATACATACAACCGAAAAACGATGCAGCTGCCGGGATGGTCAATAACGTTATTCCGACCCATTTCTGCAGAAGCGCATTCAATACGCGTAAGAGAAAAACAATCTCCATATTAATGATTAGTCAAAGCACGTTCCAGAGAAATGGTCAATATCTTAATGCTCCACATTCCACTGAATACTATCAAGGATTCCAGACTCATTTGAGTCCACCGTTGACAAGAACTTGATTTGTAAATTAATGTATTTGCCAACCGCATACAATTGTGTATCCAAGTGGGTTATAAAGTTGATGGAAACTCGGGTACCGTGCCTACCTGATGAAAGAAGGGCTAATTGTCAGTTGGCTTTCGAAGAGTATTCAACAACCGTATGAGTAGCTTGCGCAGTCAAGAGAATGAGTTTGATACTAGCATGAAAACCGACTGGATTTCACGTGGTTCTTTCGTTTGACATTCTTCAACTGAACAGGCCGTGGAAAAGATGCCCCACGTTCTAGCTGGAACTGTAATTCAGATCTTGAAGTGCCACTACTATTCATTAGGCAGCCCTTCTTGGGGTTCACCAGGTGGCCCTAGTACCCGAATCTCCCTCAGCGTTATCTCTAACATGACCACCGAATTAGTCGTATGTTGCCATAAATACTCATCTGTAAATATAAAACTTCTTTGGAACAAAACATTGTCCTGTTCAGTCAAGGCTTCTGATCCTGAGAAGATCCTCAGCTTCCCAACGTACAACCATACCGTTCCAGTGATTTGCTTGCCAAGGCACGCCGCACCCATATAACCGCGAGTGAATTTGCAAACTACACAGCCGCTTTCGTCTATTTAGGGAGCAGAAAGTGTGCACTGATGAAATCCGATAACTCTAGAAAGAATGCATGGGTTCGTTGTCATGGGAGGCTATAGACGCTTCCACTACAAACATTGTCGCCAACCTTGACCACAATAGTGGCAGAAGCACGCTCGAAGCGTGCAAGGCAACCGCTGAGTGAGTTTTAGGACAAGCTCGATCAACGACAAGCGAATTCGACTACAATATTTCATCGTCAGAGCGCCAAAAGACCTGACAATACTTCAATAGTAAATCAAGTTACAGTCCACTTGGAGATGAACTGATTGTGAACAGCGGTATACTACGCCCGTGTTTGACACAAATAATTCACTGAGCAATGTATGGTGCTTTTGAACGACTCATGAGCTAGTACGGTGCCCGAAGAATTTTGCGAAATAATCGTCTCGCGAAATTTTCATGGTGCATGAGATATTAGGCGAAGCAATGTTGTCCTTGATTGAAAATTACACACGCTCCCGCTGGAGAAAATCCCTTTAAAAAACATGAGAACTGGTTCCTATATGTCGACGCTGCTTTCCAAGATACCGCAGTAAACTGCAGTACTGTTAATCAACTAAGCTATGTCTTAGACTTTGGTGAAATACTGACGTCGTTGAAAGCATAATGATAGTATAATATGGCTCTTCACAAGTCAGATTCAATTATATCTAACTTTTGCACATTTGTACACGCTAACACCAACCATGTGTGGATTATGTAGCAGAAGTGTGACATTCGAGCCTGAATAAAGTCAATTATAGTCGCAAACCTTTTTATACGGGTATGAGTTTCGTGTCATCCAGTGTAAAATTCGTTGGGAATTGTAAAAATATGCAACCACCTTCAAAGTGTACTAGAGCTGTGAGAGGAATGAATACTGGATATTGTACCGGATATTTGTAATAACGGTATTTTCTCAGCATACATCCCGTTCTGAGCCCTGCAAGCTAGCGTTCCCGTCGAAACAACCACGGAAGGTACACGTGTACTAACGTCCAAAACCAGACCAAAAACGCATGCACAGTGCCTCGTATACAGTGTGTGCGGCGGCAAGTCTGGAAATTCAGATGCCTTCTAGAGGTGCCATTGGCAGCCGACATTCGTCCAGCTGTAGCACCTCTTCGGTGGCTAACTGCCATGCCACAAGAAAGAAGTGCGAGAGCTGCGACATTACCGGGTTGCCCAAGCCTACACAGGGGGCGTTGAGAGGCAGAGATGGGGTTCGAACGACGGACCTTCCAGTCAGAAAATTCGCTCTCTAACCAGTGAGCCATCTGGCTCCGCAGGTATTCGGCGGATACTGGACCATGATTGGCTGTTGGGTCCAGATTTTTAACCAACCAGATCTTGCACTGATGCTGGATCGACACGCAGCATGATCTTCTGGCCAATCGCGAGCGAGATTATTATCGATCACAGCATTCATTCAAAAAACATATGATTAGTCACGATGCGCTCACTGAAAAGATGGCTTACGGTTGACAAGTAACGACTTGAATTAGATAAAGAAAAAAGTGCGTCGGAATGTCAGTTGTCTAGATGAACACGTTTACTCAAGTTTGTTATTCGTGTTTAAATGTGGAACGTGCAGAAATGCTCACGGAAATCGACCATGATTGTTGGGTCCAGATTTTTAACCAACCAGATCTTGCACTGATGCTGGATCGACACGCAGCATGATCTTCTGGCCAATCGCGAGCGAGATTATTATCGATCACAGCATTCATTCAAAAAACATATGATTAGTCACGATGCGCTCACTGAAAAGATGGCTTACGGTTGACAAGTAACGACTTGAATTAGATAAAGAAAAAAGTGCGTCGGAATGTCAGTTGTCTAGATGAACACGTTTACTCAAGTTTGTTATTCGTGTTTAAATGTGGAACGTGCAGAAATGCTCACGGAAATCGACCTTTTCTGTCACGTTACTCTCCAAAATTGGTCAGTATCAATCAACTAATTGGAAACTATATTCTTTCGAATGAAGAAACACTATCGTTAAAATTCAAAAATTAATTTGGCGTGCATTTGGGGGGGTGGGGGTAAAGTCCAGATCACTCATAGTGCTGAACACCGCTGACCATGTAAGCGGAAGTTGAAAATGAACTCCAGTTGGAGTGTATCAAAACCCTGGAATAAAAAAACTGCAAGAACAAAACGCTATTTTCGGACGACCGCACACGTGTAACGGTTTACATACAAAGAGTTTTCAGAGTGTCAGTGCACGTACATGTACAGCAATTAAGTAAAGTGGCAGCGACTACAAACTAAAGAAAGGAAAACCGCGGAAAGCAGACTGGCAGTACCAAACAGGTCAGTGTTGACCAGGATGCCAACAAAATGGCGTGTGTGGCCTGGCCGGATTGAACAGCCAGTTTTGTGAAGTTTCAGGCATGGACCGCGTCAACTGTCTGTGTTCATACTGTTCGGTGGATTCAAACGTCAGTGGAATGAGTCCATTTGATGAGAATAAGCCACAAAGTTCGATAAAGCTCACCATCACCAGCAGGGTATGATCGACAATGCAGAAGCGACCCATCGACTCTGTTAACCGAGTCACCAAAACAATTTCAAAGGGGAGAAAACCTCAACGGCCAACGATAAGGAACGGCGGGAGTATAAAGGTCCAAAGGGAGGTGTAAGATAGTCGAAGTTGTGAAAAGATGGAACATACCTTTGGAACTTGGCTCAAACAGAGCAACTTCTTTCCAACCGGATCCGACGAAATGGCCATAACGGCAATATCTGGACAACCCCTTTCCAAAATCTTCAACGCTGAGTTGATTGCCTTTGCGTTTGCTTCATCCTGGAACACATGGACCACATAATTGCTCCCGAATCCGTCTTGTTTATTCGAACAGCAGGATTCAACCAATTTCCGAGCTTCCTCTAAGACCTTTTGAAAAACGGCCGAATTAAGAGTAAGTTGAAGCACCAGAAAATCAGGGAGAACGAAAAAAAAACTTTTAAAAACCTTTGACTTTTGCTTAAATTGTGTCGCTTCAGCGAGATTTCAAATCAGAGTAGGCATTCTAAAATCTTGCTTCTCAGCTTCCAAAATCATCGGGAAGTAGTCTTCCCAGATTTTCCTCAAAGTCAGACCAGGACCCGTTTAAGAAAGTGAACACAAAAGTTACGTGACTTTCAGCGACGCGCCAAGAATACGAATAGTCAAATAGGGGAAAATCATATCTCGAAGCACCAGGAAGTACCTGCGTCGTAATTGACGCTTTTGCATTTTTATCCCGATCGTCCAGCTTTTTCTTTGCGAGACCCAAGTCAGCACGCAGGCGGTCACGGACGTGTTGACTAATGTTTGCTTGAGCCAAACGTTCAGACAAAGAGGCTAGTTTCTGAGTTAATTCGCGGAATTCAATGTTTTTATTCTTATCAACTGGCTTATCACCATTGGCCAGGGCAAGAGACGATGCCATGTGAATAGCGCCAGACAAACGGGAAACTTCGTGTTCCAACTCCTGAGCTTCGCGTTGGGCCTGAAAGTGGAAAGAAAAAAATATTTTAGATCGACGGAGGATGAATAAAGAATAAAAAGGACAGATACTGGGCTGAACAAAACCCAAATTTTACCATGTTTCAAGCATTTTATCTTGCAAGGGAAAGTAAGGCTTATATGAATTACAGGACTGAACAAATTCATAAAACTGTCCGACTTATAAACATAGGTCGGTTTCGTTTGTTAGGTTCAAAATCACAATCAAACTAAATATAACTATGTAAAGTAATACTTATGAGGAGTACATGCTTCTGATAACAGCAGCGGTGAGATTTTCACGGAAGGACTAACCCCTGTCGTGGGAAAGTCAGTAATGAATATTCATGAGCTATCTGCCTCCTCCGCATGAGATTGCTCGTACTAGACACTCACGCTGTTCGGAGACGCCAATGACAATATGGAACCGCGGGAAAAAGATAAGCATGTATGTATTGGATGTTTGGCGTCCCTAAAGATACTTCGGGAAGAAGCGAACCGGCTGATAGTCAAGCTGCATTGTTCTTTCAGTTTAAAAACTGACATCGATTTCATTACAGCTTGGTTAAAGCAGGTAAACTTAATCGTTTCAACTTACACACCAGTAGAAAGCGCAGAAACCCAATCAAGGGCATTACTTTACCACTTGCGTTGGTATCTTTCACCTTGTTGACAAAATTGAATGTGCCCATTACGGATATTCGTCATTTGACTCGATTAGACTCAAAGGCCGTTTGGCTACTGAGGGATAGAAAGTTACAGATGATATCCAACAGATAGGCACTCGTCTTGCAAATTTCCGAGATGCGTAGATACAAGAGGCAGAGGTCGTGAAAACTAGTTAGGTTCAAATTCTATTTGATTGATGATTCCCACAGCAAAAAGTGGTTTCAAATAATTGGTGAGCTGGACTGCAATTGATACTGCCTCATCGTTACCGACAAATATAGTCACATTTCACCCCGTTCACCATGCACGCAGACAGTTCGTTAAAATAGCCCCATATTATTGAGAAGAACAATATGATCAGACAACTTAAATTGAATGTTATGAGGTCCCGAAGCCTTCCTGGCTGAGGCCTACATGGTCCTCACTACATATGGCTGGAAACCTTACAAAACATGTCATGTAAACGACCCCAACAGCAAGCGCTCTGTAATGTGCAGACTGGACTGCCCGGCTGAAGTATGTCTGCTACCGTGAGTTGCGCTCAGTGCGGGTGAGGTTCGCAAAGGATGCTGGATCAATCTCGCTACTGGTGCCTTCTTCTAACGTGGTGATTTGGTAGATGGGCTGCTGGCAGTTGATCGCTTTCTCTAAAGACAAGGACTTTTTAAGAAGGTCCCACCCCTTTTCGTTCTTTCAACACCTCATGTGGAATTACGTGACAGTTGGGCGCCAGTAGGTGTTACTGGCGTATTTTCGTTAATGGTGATGAGGATGACGTAAGCAGTGTAGATGAATGTGACGTATGCATGTGATGAATGCACACTGCGATACCATATGATCCGTGGATGGAAGTGTATATCTTGTTAGTATGGGTCTCAAGAAACGGAAAACTATCTTGGTGAATGATTCATCTGTGTACAGACGTGCAGCTCACTCTTGAAGATGAGATAGCGAAAAATGTTGCGGGGCAAGGTGTTACCACATTTTCAAGAAAATCAGGGGATCGCGAAGAAGGAACAACTCCGATCTACCAAAGTCAAGAGTGCACCTGCCGAACTAGCCCATAAAAGGTATCTATTTTCAAAAGTAGTGGTTAATAATCGTCAACACGGATTAAGTGCCGAGTAGCCAACTGTTGCAAGAGGTCATTTTAGTAAGCGAAAATCTGCTTGGGTTACATCACATGCAACATCGTCTTAATTCGGAAATTATGCTGATGAGTCATAAGAAGTGTAGCAGATCTCAAATCGATGCGCAGCAGCGAACGACCGTTTTACAAAAAGCACGAAATATCTACCCGCAGAGAGTCTTTTGAGAGAATTTTAAAAATATCTCGTTTATTGTCTGGACCACATACTAATTTGGTATATTATTCCCCAAACAAACTCACTCGTTCCCCTTCATGTCCAGTTAGTGCGACAATTCGACGGATGCCTTTCGCAATTGCCTCTTCGCTAACAATCACCAATGAGCCAATGTGCTTCACATTATGGACGTGACTGGAGAGCATAAAAACAACAGGTTTTGGTTGAGCAGTAGGATGCGCTTATGTGTGAAGGAAACCACAAAAAGACATGGAAAATCAAATATCGTTCCCCTGTGTGAGACCTGGCCCAAGCTATACCTTCCTAACATGAAGGTCTTCCTTGGTTCACCTTGGTAACATCGATATGAATCACAATAGTTTCCGGCAGAATTTCCTGAAATATCGAAAAATGGAATCCAAAGGTAACTAGCCAGCAAGTGAAGGTGTCCCGAGGGGCGTTTAACAATTAACTTTTTATGTCATGCGTTAAACGCCTCCAAGGGGCAGCCTAATACCAGAAGGGCTGAGAAAAATGTCTATTATATGAGGCAAATCACCACTTTGATAAAAGGTGACTCATTTTCAAAAGTGTACATGATATTAACATAAACGGGAAGGCAAAGAGACCAGTTTTTGCTTCAGAAAAGTGAGTAACGTGATATCCTTCGAGGATAACACAGGAAAACTTGGTGACACATGGAATCCATTTCAGAGGGAGGAGGATTTTCCCCAAGAAAGGATGCAGTGCTTCGACGAAAACACCATGGATCTCAAGCGAGTGGACAGATCGAGATCGACCAAACACTTGCTTGAAAAGCGTGTGGTTAAAGTACATTTTTCAGAGGTAGATACATAACCGATGCCTTCCGGAAATCTGATCTTAGGTGAAATAAAATTAATTGGTTGTAACTACCATGCCATCCGATGGAAACCCCAGGTCTGAGATACTGCCAAGTTTCCCAAACAGTAGCTGAGATGAAAAGGTTCGATTCGGACCACGTACCCTCAGGTCGCACAATAACCACCAAGCTATCTCATACTCCTATTTATACTAGACGGAGCGAAGTTACAGTGTTCGAAATTTTCAAGAGAAATTTGAGAATTTTTAGGAAGATCCCACGTATTCGAACCATTAATGTTCCCAAACAAACAAACAAAACTTCTGACTTAAACCCATGAAAAACACTTGGTGAAACTTGACTATCCGTCGTACGCTACAAGCAATCAGGGTTTGGCTCATTACATTCATCCGTGATTTATGAATTCTCACTGCGAAATTCCATTTTCGGCCTAGAAGGCCTCACACAGAATGATCTCCAAATAGTCCAGTCCGTGCGTGACTGGATCAATGACTCATTGCTGCTAAGTTCGAAATGCAACACATCTAGCACTAGCAATCGCGTTTCGGGAACCATCAGCGTCGACTCCATCCAAAATCCCCTGGATGATTTCCCCTCAGGAGGCCTCTGACGTAATTCCGATACTGTAGGAAGTTGGTTGGGATCACTGGTCAAAGTCCGAATCAAGTGTGGTCTCCATGAAGTGGGCACAGTGCTCCCCTGGTCCATTCTTACAGATGTGCTCTTCTAGTCGCCTGTTATCCGACCGAAATACTGAGCATACTTCCTAAGCTCAAAATTCATCACATAGTATGACGATAACGAGCGTTAGAAGCTAGAGCTGCTAAGCACACAACAGGATCGTTAGGTAAAAGCTATAATAAAGGTAATTACACACACAAACTACACACTTAGCGAGGATATCCATTCTTAATAACTACTGATTTCACTTCATCTGAAAATACACTTCAAGGACCGAAGAAACAGCGGAACCGTGTGTGTTTTGCCAATAGGAGGCACTTACAGAAGTGGTAATTCTCGCACCAAGTCTCGTTCGGACTAGTGTTATGTCTTCTTAGTGCTCGCGGAATAGGTGCGCCAGTAGACCAAACACTGAAAAGCGTGTGGTTAAAGTACATTTTTCAGAGGTAGATACATAACCGATGCCTTCCGGAAATCTGATCTTAGGTGAAATAAAATTAATTGGTTGTAACTACCATGCCATCCGATGGAAACCCCAGGTCTGAGATACTGCCAAGTTTCCCAAACAGTAGCTGAGATGAAAAGGTTCGATTCGGACCACGTACCCTCAGGTCGCACAATAACCACCAAGCTATCTCATACTCCTATTTATACTAGACGGAGCGAAGTTACAGTGTTCGAAATTTTCAAGAGAAATTTGAGAATTTTTAGGAAGATCCCACGTATTCGAACCATTAATGTTCCCAAACAAACAAACAAAACTTCTGACTTAAACCCATGAAAAACACTTGGTGAAACTTGACTATCCGTCGTACGCTACAAGCAATCAGGGTTTGGCTCATTACATTCATCCGTGATTTATGAATTCTCACTGCGAAATTCCATTTTCGGCCTAGAAGGCCTCACACAGAATGATCTCCAAATAGTCCAGTCCGTGCGTGACTGGATCAATGACTCATTGCTGCTAAGTTCGAAATGCAACACATCTAGCACTAGCAATCGCGTTTCGGGAACCATCAGCGTCGACTCCATCCAAAATCCCCTGGATGATTTCCCCTCAGGAGGCCTCTGACGTAATTCCGATACTGTAGGAAGTTGGTTGGGATCACTGGTCAAAGTCCGAATCAAGTGTGGTCTCCATGAAGTGGGCACAGTGCTCCCCTGGTCCATTCTTACAGATGTGCTCTTCTAGTCGCCTGTTATCCGACCGAAATACTCAGCATACTCCCTAAGATCAAAATTCATCACATAGTATGACGATAACGAGCGTTAGAAGCTAGAGCTGCTAAGCACACAACAGGATCGTTAGGTAAAAGCTATAATAAAGGTAATTACACACACAAACTACACACTTAGCGAGGATATCCATTCTTAATAACTACTGATTTCACTTCATCTGAAAATACACTTCAAGGACCGAAGAAACAGCGGAACCGTGTGTGTTTTGCCAATAGGAGGCACTTACAGAAGTGGTAATTCTCGCACCAAGTCTCGTTCGGACTAGTGTTATGTCTTCTTAGTGCTCGCGGAATAGGTGCGCCAGTAAAGAAATTAAACATCAAAATCCTTATTGAGAAATCCGTGTACTAGTCATAGTACCTCACGAGGTCTGCAACGATCAAAACTGACAGATTCACCGATCAACAGCTGTAATGGGAGTGAACATAAAGCTGGTCTGAGTATCTGCAATTCTCTAGTCAGAAAAGATTTCGTTTGGCCACTCGATATCTGGGAATCACACTGCATCGACCGGAATGACAGAGTACAAGCGTCACAGATCTGGTCGGCATTTGTGGTGGTGCCAACTAGCCAGGACATAAACCACTGATAAATTCAATGGGTCAGATATGCAGGGCATGTAAGTTCTCTTGATCCAAGACAAAAAAAGGTCGGGAAGCAGTCTCACGGATTGCGACCGGTGATCCGAAATCCGAGACGCTGTGTCTTTCCAAAATCTAGTGGACGTTGATATGGATTAACCAATGTTGTTTGGTTGATGTATCCATCAAACAGGCTTGGTGCGTTTGCGGACTCCATTTTCACCGACTAGTCTACCACGAATCATAACATGTTATGGTGTGCTAACCACACTGAGTCACTGTTCACCAACAGGAGTGTGGTTTCAATGCTAAATTAAGAGCAGTACAAGTGGAGGGACGGGCGACGCGTAAGTTGACCAACGGTATGGACAGGGTCCACTAAAGTCTCCGCATGACCGGGGAGACTGAATCAAAATAAGTCACGTACTCATCGGAAGTTTCTATCCTCGTTATCTGACCAAATCATGGACACCTCAGGATGTGCGAAAGGTAACTACTAGGCTTTCTCCTAATTGTCTAGCTGAATCAATTACATGAAGCGGAAGCCCTCCGGTACTGTGAACCACGGTTACGACTGACATTGGTATACAACTTTATGGTCGAATTGCAAGTGAGAAAATCAAAGTCTGGATAAATCTAACCAAGATATTAGAAAATCAAATGATTAACATAATCAATGATTGTTTGTTTGCCGATGCTATCCACGATGCATTGACAGTGTCGCCCAGTATGATGACGGAAAGTTTGAAAACAAACCATCGAGTTTAGCGAATAAACCCAGTTTCGTGAACGACCGTCCATCAATCAATACACCCTTTCCCCTAGCAGTGATACGAAACAGACGTACAGTACATAGTCGATTGCCAACTAGGAGTCTGTGAGCCAGCAATTCAACGAACGACCAAGTGCAAGTGTCATTGTGCATACCTTACTCTTGGAGGATAACGTACATAGTTTAGGCTGTTCAGTCAATGTCTGAATTATCCTACTTGAAATTCCGTTGCTAGGCTCAGGGAACAATTCAGCCGCACCAAACTGCTCAGTGAATACTCCTACAACCATTGTGGGTGTACTTAATGCACACCCATATGCTGTCAGAGCTTTTCACGTGCAACAAACACAAAAAAACGGACTTATTGAAACCAACAACAAAGTATACAATCGCCTACACAAGACTGAGAAATGATATATACAACCGTACAAGCTCCAGGACGCTCGTGAACATGTAAAGACTAGCACGTACCATCCTCAAATTCGGTACAAGTAAATACAGTAAGGTGACACTAGCGTTCAGAGAAAAGGTACACCGGAAAAGTTCAGCTGTAGCACCCTTTCAGTGCCTATCTACCATGCTACCCGAAGGAAGCACGAATACTGTCAGGTTGCCCAAGACTAGACGGGAAATCGAGGGGCAGAGATGGGGTTCGAACCACAGACCTTCTGGTCAGTAAATTCGCGCTCGAACCACTTAGGCCATCTCGCCTCCCACAGCCGAAAAGTCTAATACAACTCCCTATCACCGGACTAAGCAGTCCTTCGTTGCAACCTGGATGTGGACAGTTAATGACAGTGCATATCGCAAGTTCAGTCAGGCCTTGCTAGATATATGGCACCAGCTTCACTTGGATCAAATCTCCGAGCTATCCGAAAAAGCGCAGGATCAAACAACCCCGAACAGAACAATCAAACACCAGACTGGAGATGTGGGTGGAGATCAGAACCACAAGTTGGCCATTAGGGAAGACAAAAGCCAGCTCACTGTGTGATAGGTGTGAAGCACCATCGTCTTGTCGACACATCTCACTGACCTGTCTACTCGTGATAACGAGCAGCAACAGTAAATACACCAATGTCCGACTAACGCATTCGAATCTTATTCACTGATCCGCACTGCTAAATTGTCCACTGCTCAAGCTGGAATGGCAATGTGAACTAGAGTGGAGTGACTCTACAGTTTTCTAACGAGATGCCTGACTATTAGTATAGATACAATTGAGTGTTCACACTAGTATGAACTATGTCTTAGCAAGTCAAAAGAAAAACCTATCATGAACTTCATATCCATTCCTTTTTTGTTAAACTGATTATCTGCAAATGAGAAAAAAATCTCAGGTGTCTCACATGAGAGTAAAAGCGGCAGCTTAACGGATTTTGGTTAGATTTACACTTGTCGGAAATCCGTTGCTCTTTGAGTTCATACAGCAGTGATGGTCCCCATTGCTTCGATGACTACGGCCGCATAAAACTTGGCGCAAAAAGGTTCCAATAGGGATAAAAGAAATTATTCAGGTAAGGAATGGCTCTGAACAGTGACTAACAGGAATGAGGAGAAGCTGACACTAAAAAAATGTCAGAATTCGAGCCTTACGTTCCCCCACAGAATTCGACGGAGGTGGTGTTGCCTGCAGGACCAGTAGGATCTGCGACCAGTTTGTCCACCGGAACCGCAACAGAAACCACTCTGACAGGGTCCGGATAAACTTCTCCAAACACGGCACGTAGACCCTGGATAGATTTCCCGATGGGGAGAGATACATTAGCGGCGTAAACAGCTGCATTGCTTTCCAACATAGTGTGAGCGACCTCTTCAGCATCGCGAAGTTCATCCCGAGACATGCCACGCTGAATTATGAGAAATAGAAAAAGAACTCTAAAAAAGTCATATACCTCTTAGATTAACTGGTCTGGTAACGCAAATTACATTCACCAGATACACAGTGCAAGTCTATTACGCATTTACTTGATCCCGGTTTGTTATGCAACCTATCAAAGAGCATCCTAGTTTAAGACGTATACAGAGCTGCAAACGACAAGGATACGACCACTACCATACAATAACTTACGGAATATTCTTCAAACATTGCAAAGGTGTAAAACTCCACATTGTGTGCGAGCGGTCCATATCCTATCCAATAAAACCGACCAACGCTTGGTACGTAACGGTTCGCTGTAGTGTCATCCAGTAAACCTGAACCCTGGGGTACTGATAGGTCAGATGATGAGATTACACATTGTTAGGCAGGAATCCACGCGGATCCCACTATACTGCACGTCTTTAGGCGCTGCTACGGCCGAGAAGCCTGGACGCTCGAGGTTGGCCCAGAATTCGGGACGCTTGCCGGTCCGGCATCAAGACGAGATCTGATTGGTCAACAATCTGGACCCAAAAGCCAAATATGACCCAGTATTGGCCAAATGCCGGTTGCCAATGGCGCATCCAGAACGCGTCAGAAATTCCAGAAGGTTATAACTGCTTACGCTATATATACGAAGCGCTGTACAACTGTTCTTGACTTCGTTTTGGGCGTTAATAGACCTTGTGCACCTTTGGTGGTTGTTTTGACGTGAACTCTAGCTTGGGAGGCTCAGACCGAGGACTAAGCTGAGGAAAATAGCGTTACTACACATATAGTTGCCACCATACCATCAAAAGATAGTTAAATTACGAAGCAAAATCACAAAAGTCGTCAAGAATGAAACGCTTCACGTGACTAGGAGTTGCGCACCTTTGAATCACTATGATGAAACACCTAGACGCATGTAATACAAAAGTACCAGCAAAGTTGACCGTACACATGCTACACGAAACGGCATATTATAAACCGGTGAAAACTGCTGTGGGAAAAACTTACCTTCGCAGTGAAATCGAACCTTAGGCGATCTGGCGCTACAAGGCTTCCTTTCTGATCCGCTTCACCGAGAACTTTTCTTAAGGCAAAGTTTAGAACATGTGTACCAGTGTGATTACGCATGAGCCCGGAGCGCCGCACACCGTCAATGCTCACACGCACCTTGTCTCCGATCGCAAAGTGTCCCTCTAGGCGGCCAATATGTAGAACGTAACCACCACGATATTGTACATCCGTCACACACAATTCGCAAGCCTGAAATCAAAAGAGTGACCGGAGAAAATGATTACGAGCTCAAGTTTAAACCAATCATTGTAACCGATCCTGTGTTAGGACTGACGATTTTCTAAGTACACTGTGAACAACCAGGACAATAAGGATCCAAATACATTTCTATGGATCATGAACGTTGGAGATTTCGGGAACAAAAAACGAGGAACAGCTTGACAAAGGCTTCAACAGATGAATGAACTAAGGTAACATAGCAGCACGTACTACCAAATTCACACTGCTCATTCGATGTGATTTGGTGTTAAGGACCTTGTGACCTCTGAAGTGCTTTTTATCATCGGATATACGTTTCAGCTACATACATCACATTACGCATATTTCACAGGTGGCGAGGGCGTAAGCTCTAAATCTAACTTTCATCGGGCAAGTTCAATCCACATCCACAAGTTTGCGAGTTCGAATCTTCCTAGAGCCATTCGTCGCATCGATTTACTTCAGACTAGTATGAAACATGTATACACTGCCCTTCTGCTTTTCAACTTGTGCTGACTTCATTTGTGGAATGAAATTCTCCCCAGCGCAAATCTTTGCGCTCCGGTTAAATTGACATACGGAGCGCGGCAGTTATCTACTCTATCCGACGGTTATGACAAAAAATCGTTCAGCTGTAGCACCCTTCCGGTGCCTAACTGCGATGCCACCCAAAGGTTGGACGAGGGCTGAGATACTGCCAGGTTGTCCAAACTTAGACAGGGGAAGTCGAGAGACAGAGGGCGGATTCGAACCACGGACCTTCCGATCAGTAATTTCGCGCTCTAACCACTTCGGCCGTCTCGCCCCGGTTATGACAACAATCATTCACCCAAGAGCGGACTTGTCAGGCACTGTCTGATAAGTCGATTCAATGCAAGCCTGTACGAGGCACTTTATCGAGCACTACGAATTGGGTGGTAGGTGGGAACAGCAGACGTACTCCCGAAAAACAATACAGCAATGATGTTTTCAATTACAATCAAGTGATCCCTCATTCCAGAAACAGCCATGACTTGACTTTGCGATCATTAGACAAGCCTGAGTTAACTTGAATAGACTACTTCAAAATTATCCCAGATGATGAAGTATTCAGTATTATTTCACGAAGCGACGACTTTGTGACCCGCTAGAACTATAATATCCTAATTCGAAACTCCACGCGCACCCTCACTCTAACTGTCGTCTCTTGACCGTCGATAACGGAATAGATTTATGTGGAAAAAAGTAAACACCTCAAAACCGGCCATGAGGATTCCAGTTGTGGGCCATTGCGGAAAAATCATGAGGAACTTTCAACGGCGTACGTTAAATCGTCCGCCCAGCGACGAGTGTCAGGTAACATAACAATCCGCTCCAGAGCCTCATGAGTGTAAATGAGGGTTGCCAAATAACCCATTCAAAATTTGGTGCGTACACACCCGAAAAACTATCATACAACAATCCACGATATTCTCAGTGGCGTAAAGGATCCAATTTGTGGCTGTTAGGGCTATAGTAGAAGACTGACAGGTAGTACTCGACAGAATAAGACCAACAGGTAGGGTGGGTAGTACGATGTACTCTTACATCATCGCTGATCTTCGTAATAAACCCCGTGTCGTACAGCTGCCCACCGGCTTCCGCATAGAAGACCGTCTTGTCGAGGATGAATCCACACAACTGTCCAGACTGGCTGACATCAGGGACAAACATGGATTCTTGACGGATGGATAAAATTGTTGCTTCGATCTCTGGAAAGGCTGTCGAACAAGGGGAGATCGGGGAATTAGCCTGGATTTCTCGAGAATGTACAAATTATTTGGGGGAAACCGAGGCTGAAGATAAAAAACAGATTGAGAAACAAGTCGGATACCTGAAAGGCCCACTGCTTTTGCCGAAAGTCTGAAGTGATTATTCTATGTGACCTATGATACGGCCGTCAGGCGTCTTTCCTGGCAGGTTCCAACCAGGTTGTTCGATTGTTTTGTACGCTCCTCTGAAGATGTGACAGGTAAACATCCGACGCTGTCTCCTATTTAAGGATTCGTTTCGACGGTTGAGTTTGGTGTTGGCCATCAGAGACCTTGATATGCACTGCATTTGATTTGTGCTTCTGTGCTAGATCTTGAAAGATACCTTGGAAGTCGGTAGTAAACCTAATTCTCCAACTAGAGTTGAACTGAAGCCAAAGCCAAAGCTAGGGTTAGTAGGTGCACAGCTCATTCGACCATGCACGGTTAATATATTCCACTACTGAATGCGCTAAATAAACTTGGGATAGTATGTAGTCTAAGCAGTCCGAAAACACAACCCAACATTAGTAACAGGATCAACGTTCGAAATCAAACGTAATGTTTGTCATTCGACAAACAATTTGCAGCTGTTCACATTCGACACCTCTCTGAGGACAAATCGTCTAAGAAAACGTCACGGATGGACTTACCATAGTTACCCTGCGCATCTGCTTGATAGTTATACTTCTCTGTATCATCTGTCCCCGGGATACCTCGCTTACGCAGTTCCGCGATCGCATGCACATCCAAGTCCACGATGGCTCCAGCACCGGCCGCACCAGTTTGACTGCGGGCCTGTGCGAGTTCCTTCGCCTTCTCATAGCCCGCCAGGTCCAACTGGTGAAAACAAAACAGACGGGTTGAATTGTCGAAAACAACGCACAAAAACATGAACCTGGGTCTATCAGACAGATTGATGGAAGGAATCAGACAGGTAGGACCGGTGTGCAGAAAAACAACAGGTCCCACCCACACAACTTGTTTTAGGGATATGATAGAACTGAAAAGTCGTTCCTTTGCAAATTAGGATGATCATAACGGAAGACCAAGTTGAATCCCCGTTTAGGATATTCATTCAGTTCATAATGAATAATGATCGATATCTCACGCCCTGTACACTACAATCCCTTCAACTTCGATAATTTCACATAAAAATAGAATTCATTGTGTTCGATGGCGTATATCACTGTCTGGACCTTCCCCCACGGACCTCTGGACGTGGACAGCACTGCCTAAGACCACAATAAAAAAACGTTCAGCTGTAACAGCCTTGCGGTGCCTAGCTGCCATGCACCTTGAAGGAGGCGCGAGGGCTGGGATACTGCCAGGGTGCCCAAGCTTAGACAGGGGAAGTCGAGATGCAGAGGTCGGGTTCGAAGCACGAACGTTCCAGTCAATAGATTCGCGCTCCAACTACTGTCATCGACTCGACAGGGGAATCGAGATGCAGAGGTCGGGTTCGAAGCACGAACGTTCCAGTCAATAGATTCGCGCTCCAACTACTGTCATCGACTCCTCAGTGGTGGTCATTATTGCAGACGGCTCTACGAAGAAGAAAGCAAACCTTCAAGAGGGATTAGAAGGGAGGATTGGAGAATGACCATTTCAAGAAAAGAGTGCATGCAAGTGCCACAACTCACTTTTAAATTATGCTCCTCTGCCATAAGTTGTGTTAGATCTAACGGAAACCCATATGTATCGTAAAGACGCCATGCAACAGTTCCTGGGAGCACACCAGTGCCGGCGGCGCCTTGTGTACGTTTGATATCAGAAATAGTACGTGACAAGAGACGTTGTCCACGTTTCAAAGTCGTCAAAAATTGCTGTTCCTCTTCATTGATCAATTCTTTGACCTAAAAAGGGAGATGCAAAGAAAAGCTTGTCAGAGGGAAAACGAACAGGATAATCTGAAAAGCGATGGTGTCCACACAGTCTAATCAACGCTTATCGGCCACACGCTCCAGGTAGCGAAACTGGCTGTATCTAAACGAAATGACATTTTGGGATACCGGCATACAATGTTCAATATTTTGCGTCAATCGGACTGTCCACAGTGGGTAGAAAGAAGAAACCAACATTTAGGGATGGTGACCTCTCTACAAAAGGGAAACACCATGATAACTTCAGCTGGGTCATTTTCTTTTACAGAAAACGACGAATACAAACGTGCACCTGACCTGATAAACAGTTTCCGTTAAAGTATCAAATCATCGAACGTAACATATTAAACACCCTTTACTTGTGTAAATGATAGTCAACAAGGCAAACAGTCATGTTCATCAGCTTCTGTCGCCTACAGCAATACAAACAAGTAACCTGCGTGTTATCTAGCTGAACCCACAACAAACTAATTATATGGTGGATATGTACCCTAATACAGTTGTCTTCTCTGGAGGGTACCATCAATACATTTCCCTTCAGTCCCTCTGGGTGGTTTCTATAGAAGACAACCGAAAGAATAAAAAGTAATCCATATAATTGCGGGCATCACCTCACCAAATTCGCTGGACTTTGTTCCTCAAACCAATTGAAAGAGTCAGTATCCTGAAAATTATCTTAAGCCTCCCATAATACTTTTGGAGGTTCTTAACAAAGACATTCGTAATGAAGCCTAGGTTGGTGGTCGAAATAACGGTTGCCAGAAGCCGCTAAAACAGGACTCTTGAATGTAGGAGGCTATCTAGTTTGAACTTCAAGAAAGACCTGTAATGTTCACGAAGTTATGGCTGTTGCAATTCTGCTAGGCATCCTAGCTTACCTGAAAGTGCTCATGTTTTTACAGTAGCAGAGAGTGGAAAGCCACAACACCTGCCGCGCATGTGTAACAAAGTCGTTAAATGGTGGCACATACCTGCATTTGTTTATCCCCTTGCGTACGACCGTCAAACCATATAGGGTGGAAACGGTCGCCGACAACTATTTCTGTAGCTACCCTCTTTAAGCACCTGTACACCTATCCAGCCGGATATCAGTGACCAGTAAAGCAATCATACGAAAATCGACACCGTCGTATTTCTAAAAATCGGCATCCACTGGCTATGACTATATGTGGCATTAGGATGCAGACCACTGAATTGGTGCTCCTTACAGAGGAACATTGGCCGATGACAATGAGAAAGTTTCCCCGACCATTTCAAGTTGCCGAATGTTTTTGCATGTACATTACCAGAAATGGGTCTAGACTGGGTCTGGCACACCGGGAGACATACAAATCTATTGCGACAGCCAAGCTATGTTTTAGCTGTCAGGAGTTGCAAGGTTCGTAGATTTGCACGCTGCAATGAGTAGGGTGTGGATTAACCAAAATAATCGCGCCAAGAAGGTAATAGAATTGTTCAAATGAGAGTAACGGGAGGACGAAGACTACTCTACGCATTTTTCGGGTCTTCTAGATAGCAAAGGAAATTATCCGATAGGTTAAGTAGAAAGTAAATTCAAAAAAACGATGTAATATCTGTCCACATATATGTGCCTAAGTTCTTTTGAGCCACCGAAAATGAAAGTGCGAAGACAGGAGAGACAACGAGCCGTGAGACAAGGCAGGGACTCACTGTGTATGGGTCATTCGCAAGTTCGGGGAATGCGTCCTTCAGAGATGTCACCACAACGTCAACTAAAGTGGCAAAGAAACCAGGCGGAGCGCCGAGAACTTCAACGGCATACCTGACTGCACGACGTAAGATACGTCGTAAAACATAACCCCGACCGGTGTTTTGAGCACGTCCACCGTCGCTAAGAGCAATGGTCAGCACTCGAGCATGGTCGGCCAGCACTCGATAGGCCATGTCTTTGCCATCCACATCCTCTGCACCTACGCGGCCGGAGTATGGCGGTGCACCAGTACCCTAAAGGACAATAGCATGAAAACCCGCATGTATATGGTTTCAAAACTATTGTGTACTCAAAAAATACACTCATGTACACATGTCTGTTGGTCAAATTTAATCCGGCAATACAGAGTGGCAAGATGCCACAGATTTCCATAAAGAAAGAGTAATCGTACCATTTTCCCACACAACGAAGTATGGGCGAACAAATAAAAACTTACCGATTGGATGGCGGCAAACAGAGGCTGAAAGAGATCGGTATCATAGTTCGACCGCTTGCCTTGCAAAACGGACAAGATGCGCTCAAATCCTAGACCCGTGTCAATATGTTTCGCAGGCAACGGACGTAGCGAACCATCTTCCTCTCTGAAGTTGGATAGAAGTGAAAGAGGCAGCGATGAAATAAACTTGGCGAGTAGCAGGAGAAATAGATAATGGCGTAGTTCGAATTGTGCTGTCATTATGGCAACAAAACCTTTTAAAACTAGCTAACGACTACTGTAGGCTTCAGACACTGTAAGCTAACTGTCTTGAAACGCAGTCGGAATGCTAAGCCGGATAAGCTATCACCACCGTCATTCAAAGACGACGGCAAAGCTTTGCCCTTCGTTTGTAGTGACTTAGCTGGGAAAGAGAGCATGTTTGTTCCTATTTTAAAAAGTGACAAAAGAATGTCTCCAAAGTCACGTCTGTAATACCAGCTCCTGCAATACTGCGGTACGTGGGATGCAAATCCGAGGGCATTAAGCAGGATTCCAGAAATCTGGAAGGCGAATCCATCACTACTCCCCACTTTAGACGTATGAGCAGCGTCACATATATCACGGGTTAACAATCGCTATATTTCTTGGCTTCGAAGAATTTGGCTCTATGGACAGAAAAGTGGACAGAAAAATATCTCCGGGCTCAAGATGCTTCAATGGTAAGGCGCGGACTTACTGACCGAAAGGTCGTGATTCGAACGCGGCCTCTGCATGTCGACTACTCCTGTCAAGGCTTAAGCACCTTGGCAGCATCTCGGCCCTCCTGCTTCCAAGAGGCAGCGAAATCCAGTCTGGAGGAAAATTGTTGGGTTTGAACGATGCGAACGGCACTGCTTTGTTATTCGGCGAAAACCAGTTCACACAAACTATCCTAAATAAAAATCTGGAGCTAGAAGTGTGTATCCCGGAGTGAGTTTTGTCCCATCAAAATGCTCCAGTAGTTTCAAACCGTCTGTTCCTTTGCAACGAATCTGACTCGCTAGAGCAGGAAATGTAACGCAGCCAGTTATGGTATTAGGTGTGCCAAACTATTGTTTACCTAAATGTTGTTTTTCGTTCCAACCTCTTGTTGGCAAAGTCCTACAAAACATGACACAACCAATTCCGGCGGTAAAAATACTGTCGCGTCCTATTTGAATTTCCTAGCTAAAGTTGATGCGCCATCTTGTGCAAGGCACGTGTGAATTGTCATCATCGAGAGCAACGAATTGTTAATATTGATGATGGCGTCTTGCTCCGACACGAGGTACACATGTATAGTCGATTGTGGTAGGATGATTAAGGCAACTCATTCCCAAACGCTTTACGCACGGATGTAAGGTCCTTTTGGACCAGGCCCTGAACCTTCCCCTTTCGTTCCACTTCTTACTAGAGTGCTCTTTCTTCATGGCTGTACGGTGGGACAGTGCCGGTATTTACCACCAGCGTGTTGTAGTCGAAGATGGCGACTGTCAGTGATATTGGCAGTGATAAAAAAAAGTGATGCTAACTGAGAACGTTTGAAAAATGCTAATCCTCTACATCCGCCGGATGTATACGTCACTCACCTACCTGAAACAGTATGGTATCTAAAGAACTTAGACACTTAGAGTGTGTTTGTTCGAAAGATTAGGATTTCATGGGGTCAAATCAAAGGCCGGGTCACGCACCTGTCTACTTTTAACAATAATAATAATTAATAATAATAATCCTTTAGCTGCAACACTTTCGGTGCGCACCGCCATGCAGGCCGAAGAAAGCGCTAAGGCTAAGATAATGCCCGGTTGACCAAATCTAGAGAGGAGCAGTCGAGATGCAAAGGTTAGGTTCGAACCATGAACTGTCCTATCAGTAGGTCTTAACCACTGAGCTTTCCCGAGCTCTCCATCTACTTTTAAAGGTAGCTGTTCTGCAACATTACTCGCGAAATGCCAAAGATTGGCATGTGACACGTGCATAAATCATTACCAAAACGTCGCCGCTTCAATGCACACTCCAAACTATGGCTCACGCAATGCCTCGGATATGCAACTAGAAGCGCGGTTCATCCTAGTATGAGACCTAGATTAATGTAGATCAATGCTCTGTTTCAGGATGCTTCTTCCATGATGCTAAAAAGTGAGGATGCAGAAACTCTACCTAGTGAGCTCCGTCAGCGGTATTGTCACATTCTTGTGATGGATTTCGCTGGATCATAAACGAGCCTCATAATCTTTACAGCACTCACCTGCTGTTTGACTACTCCACAATTTTCAAGAATCAGGTGGAAGGAACAATTTGCCAGGTCAAATTGTCTAACTCATGGATTTTAGTGAGGTAACTGACACTTCAATCGCTGGTTATTAATCATTCGAATGTGAGTTCACTTGACACTAAGATGCATTGCCCAGTTTTGTTAACAGCAGTGGATAAATATGAATATAAGGACTCATTCCGTAATGTGGGCATTTTTGATTGTGCAATTCATGGTCGCATCTGGTGATAAGCTGGCGCTAGGCTCCTTCCCCGCCAGTCATCTTTCTTCTAATTCTTCAGCTTTAAATACAGCTGAACTAACCAGTGAAGAACCGGTGGCACCGGTGTTGCTGTCTCTGACGATTATTAGGATTCCACAATCAATAGCATGAATGCTCACCTGTTGAACTGAATGAAAACCAGATTCCATATTTCCAACACATCGGGGTCATCCATGTTGACTAGGCCGGCTGCATCTCGTCCACCAATACGATCGTAGTGGATTTCCGAACAAGGGCCACACGGCCCAGTCTCACCCATCTCCCAGAAGTTATCTTTCATCCCAAAGGGGAGCACACGTTCCTTCGGTAATCTGATTTAGGAATACAAGTGAAGGGAATGTAGATCAGTTGAACCTACAATTCAGTCAAAACAAAGACAAGATCGTGTCATTCAGCCGGAACCTACTTTGGAGATTCTTAGCCTACGTTCATGGCCGGAAATCTCTCCGCAAGCACCAGATGCAGAAGCGCTCTCCTCTAAGCTACAGAGCTATGCAGTCAACGGTGCCCAATGGACAAGTTTCACAGCGGAAAAACTGACTGAGTAATTTTTGGCTCACGCTAAACACTAGTCTGTGACTTAGGTAAATTTTGACTGAATTATGTTGTCAATTAGATCGTCGGTTAGCTTTTAAATCAAACTGCGAAAATCAAAAGGATTGGGAACAAACCACATTGGTTGTTCGTTCAGTCACTGCCCTCATTCGGTGCGTGGCTGCTATGGTATCCTAAAAATATCTGAGGCAAAAACCAGACGAGAACCGAGCACAAGGGACATTTTCGAGTTACTCACGAGTTTGTCACGGAAAATCACCGAAAGAATTGGGGACATGCTACTAAACCACACAAAAGACATGAAACATAAAACCACGAAGCCCTGCGTGGTACGCAGATAGCCACAGATCGCCAAGCAGGAGCAGAAGTATAGTTGTGAGGAGCCATAACGATAACAAGTGACATCAATGATGAAGAAAAAACATACTTATTTGAACGTCATAAAATCTTTAAGCTAGATTCTTACATAAGTGGCTATAAAAGGAACCGATTCGGGCATCCGCAATGCACGCTTTAAGTTGCTGCGGCGACGGTGGATATGGATACTTCCCAACATAAGCCGAGGTGACATTAAGCGCTTTCCAGCTGATCAACACTTGTGTTTGGAGCGAATCCAGACGGCAGGGTTCGCAGGTAACATCTTCATCACCATCAACGAAGTTGTTTTATCAACGGTATGCTGGAGATAACCGGAAACCGCTTCCCTCACTACCGCACGCTCAGTATAGCACAAAGACGTTTAACTCTGGGTAATTATAGCAGCAACCTGAACCTAACATATGTAAAATCCGAGGGGACATCAAACACAGAGTCAACATGAAAACTTACCCGATGCTCAACCAAATGTCACGCGCTTCTTCGTCTGGTGGCAGTCCGGTTGACCCTGTACCGCCGAAGTAAGTGACATACAGGCGTTCTTTTGGTATTTTCCAAACTTCCGTCAGCAGCTGCCATGCCCATACGCACGCTTCTTTTTTGAAGTAATCACCAAACGACCAATTGCCCAACATTTCGAAAAATGTGTGGTGATACACGTCGCGACCAACGTCGTCAAGATCATTGTGCTTTCCACCAGCTCGAATACATTTCTGTGTGTTCACAGCGCGTTTCCATCCCGCCATTTCTGTGTTCGGATCAACCGTTCCCTGAAAAATTGGCTTAAACTGGGGGTGTTCAGTGACGACAAACGGAGACGAAGTACCTGATTCATGCCTGCATTCGTAAAAAGTAACGACGGGTCATTGTGTGGGATTGTGGATGATGAATGCACGTAAATATGCCCCTTTTCTTTGAAAAACTCGATGAACTGCTGTCGCACACGTTCCGCGGTCACCTGCGAAGCCATAGCTCAGGAGGGCAGCTTGCCACACAATGACCTTGGTCACACTGCGGGTCAGTTCGACTGTCCGCGGATTCAGTGATTCACGGATTCACGGATTGATACACAGGATCGAGACTTTTGCCCAAGTTTTCCGACTCGGTTTTGTTCTTGTCGTTTAGCGGCTGTCGTTCATCCGAAAGACGGATGAAAAAGGATGTAGCACTGCTCTTTAGGTTCTCAGCGCTTGCCTGTGCGAGGTTTCGCATAAATAACCGTCCAATAGTGTCTAATAGAATGAGCGTGGACAATCGCCGGAAAAGGCTTCTTCACGCAGATAATGACCGAAATGAGAGAAACTGCCCAATGAAAATGTGCCCTCTGAGCTTAAAAGTCTTTCTATCACGTCCCCGCAGTGTGTTTGCTGGGCCAGTGTTGAAAACCTGTTGGTGTATTCTAGGAACGGTCCGACGTAGCCCCCATAGAGTATCTGGAAGTCCGTGCGAGTAACACGGGAGAAGATGTGCCGAAAAATCCGTAAACTGGCGAATTTCTTTTGGACCGATTTCTAATGGTGCGCTGAGAAGGACAAGTTTGAGGAGAGCCGGAGACCCAGATCCTTTTTGACGTCTATCCTCATGATATTTCCTGGTCCTTTGTCACCATGCATGACAAGGGCATTCGATGAGTTTCGCCCAAATGATATATGGACGCGCGTTTCGTTATTCAGAGGAAGGTGCCAGTCCAACAACCACTGCTTTGCAGCGCCTACATCCATTTGGAGGGCACGGGGACTGGAAATATATAATTTCAAGCCGTCCGCAAAAAGTGAACATGCGCTTGCAAGAACATCAGGAGGGTCGTCGACATAGATCATAAACAGCAGTCGTCCAAAAACGGAGCACTGAGGAACTCAAATGGAGGTTAGCTTCCAGGCAACAGTCGGTCACTAGTTCTGCAGGTTGGCGCGACAATCGCTGCCTTCTAGGAAGAGGCAAAGCGGTCGTCGCCAGGCGACTGACGAAACACTAGGTATAAATTAATTGCCAGTGTAGGCGCTGACGAAACGGTATAAATTAATTGCCAGTGTAGGCGACGTTTCTTCACGATTCTTGGGTGGACCTCGTCGAGCCCCACGCGCAGAATGGGTTGATCTCGTGTAAGAGTTGACGAATGTTCTCCACTGTGAAAACTAAGTTGATTAGAGGCTGTTCGTAGTTACGCTGTGACGAGGAAGCTGGGGCTGAGTAAAAACGAATCTCGGAGACTTGAGTTTGTGGAGCGGCTGCACGTGTGCAACCCCATCAAATGCTTCTGATAAGCCGAAAAATATGGCAGCCGATATAAGTCCCCTTCCCTGGCCTGGGTTAAGTTATCAATAAACACCAGCATGTTTGCCGTGCAAGAACGGTTTAGGAGAAATCCGTGTTGAGCTGGGTCACTGATGGGTTCTCCGTTCCTGTCCCTCAAGGGAAACGCGGATGGCTTATTTCTGCGGCATGTATCTTGTAGTTCTTTTATTCCGGGCGAGGCCCACTATGGTAGCTTGTTTCCGTATGTTCTGTTGGCGGATTTCCGATGTGCGGCGGTTCCGCATTTTACAATATTCCGGCTCCCGTTCTGTGTCTCTTGCAGTCAACTTTTTGAAAAAAGCTGAAACCTCTTTTCCAGAAGATGCTTAATCCATTTAGTTAGCCCGTGGAACATCCGACTCCGTGCTGGTTTTTTGGGACGAACATCGCGTTAGCCCCATGAACTTTCAGAACAATGCTCCCATGTAAGTCTTATAATAAAGCTGACCCCAGTTTAACCTGTTCAAGTATGGTCCTCATTCTTGGAAAGCCCGCACGACAGATGTTTCGGGATTACTGGCCCAACAGCAGATTAAATCAAATGTCAGTACACAGTGGCCGCTATGTCCAGAGTGGAGCGTCAACAATCACCTAATCAGCGAGGAGTCTTTTGTTAGTAATGGCGAAATCCAGAAGGGATGGCAGTTGGACTGCGCGGTATTTGGTTAGTGCAACGACATGTTGAGCCCAAGCACTCTGTTGAACGACTTGGGTCAGCGCCGCTGCAAAAATATACTTGATCCGAAGCGTTAGAGCTCCATACAGGAGGCCTTTGAAAGTCATCCGTCAGCAGCTGAATGAAGTGGTACCTGGAGGAGAGTTACTCAAGGGTTCGTATGAGAATTGATCATCTTCAGAGAGACTCGAGGGGCTACGGTAGACCACACTGGGAGGGGAAGAATCGGGCCCACGAAGCGGGATTTCGATCCACAATGCATCGGAAAAAGGTGCAGGAGTGGTATCAGAAAGGACAATCGGGATTGGTAGGGCCGCATGTAAGTACAGAGCAACCCCACCAGCCCTCCCTCGCTTTGAGTCAGCTCGGAAAACAGAGTAACCATCTACCGAGTCCTCCTCGTTGGAGACATCTGGTGTAAGCCAAGTCTCTGTGGGTGCAATTACAGACGGTTGTTCAAGGCAAGCTGACAGTTTGGTATCGTCGAGTTTGTTGAAAAGGCTGAGGCAGTTTGTGGACAGGCATTTCAACACTGTCCCTGCTGCCCCCGAGGGTGAGGAGCCGAAAGTTGAGTGACCAGACTTTATAGTTGTACGTCGGGTTTGATTCCAAGGCTCAGATGGGGCCTCTGAGGTACACTCGTATGCTTCCTTTCTTGGTGCTTTTGAGAGCCGCTTTTCATTTGCAGGGTTTTTCGCCTCATGGAGCGCGTTTGCGCGATCCTTTTATCTTCAGGGGGCGAAGTTTTTCCCCGTGGGAGAAAATTTCGACCCGTCCTACTTGTAGCCCTTTCAATGCCGCGTTTTGGGCTACCGGGTTTGCTGTTGATCAAGGTTTTAGGGTAAACTTACGTCCGTTTGGTTTCTTGGACATTTTGGCACGGTTTGTTCGGAAAGGGGCCTCTGTCAGGCCCCGAGCGCTGGGTGGCAGCGCCGAGAAGGTATTATTTTGGTGGCGCTCCCATGAAGCCCGCTTTCGCAGAGGACTGCATCTTGAAACCAGTCGGCAGTTTTCTGATTTGGCGAATCTTATATCGTTCGTTTGGCTTCCTTTTTTGTGGTAATGTGGACACTCTGGTTGCCCGCGATCAGCGTGACGGAAATTAGTACGTAAAATTGAGTACTTAACTCGAGATTTCAGCTTCGTCGTTATTCGTTTCATCTAGCAGCCTCTGTTAACTCGAAAGACAAGCAAAAAAGAAGTAGCGCCGCCTTTTGAGTTCCTAGCGATGAATACTAAGCCTACCAAAGCGGGAATTTACCTCAAGTGTTTTGTGCTGTGCTTTCAATATGTGCTTTGAACTTAGTTCTAGATGCAGTGCGAACGGCCGTCAGAAGAACGTTATTCCGCGCAGCCAAATGCCAGGAACTCTGCTGGCTGCAGAATTTTATGACGCCAAGCACCGTTTTCTCCGTTTTCTTCTTTGCATCTGATCTTGCAAACACCACTGAGTCAGCCACTGATACGTACTTAAGTGCGCCACCGATAGCATCCCGTCCGCCTAATTCGAGCCCGTAGTCTTCAAACAGCGTCTTGATGCTTTGCTCCCACCACAGTCGTCCAAAATGTAGAGTCACTATCGCTCACGCACTGAGGAGTAGTATATAAGTAAATATTACCAATAGGTGCCAGCAGTAAATTCCAACCGGCATTGGTCTCCACGACAGTCATCAGATGCAGATACTACCCAGTGCCTACGCGAAAGGTGATTTTTTGCCGAAATGTCAATTTTTTGCGTTCAACCGACCGATTTTTTGAGTACTCTTTGCTGACCCTCCATTCATGCCTTTTCCATGGCTTGCAGATTAGTTCAACCCTCACCCATAGCCTAGCCATCCGGAGAGCATAGATGCTGGTTTGTCCCCTCGGCATATGACAATGACTCAGCCTATCCCACTTGGAGACATAGAGCACTTGTGTCATCTGCGCTGGGAGATTTTTAGTGTCGGATTTATGACCGCCCAAAAGGTACATTCCACTTCCCCACTGTAAGTTCTAAAGCACTACGTGGATTGAAACGCGGATTGTGCACGACATAACCAGAGAAAGGTCTTGTGACCTCAACAATGCGCCTTGGTTTGAATCCCATCATTGACGAAAAAGACCTTATAACTAATCCAAGTTCATAAATAAATGATACTTCTGCCTTTAACATGGTCGACTGCAATGCTTGGGTAAAATCTATCATTGGGTCTACCTACCTGGTGCGATTCCGCAGCCCAGCTCAGCTTCCACTGTCCGACCAGAGATCTCTGCTGACAACAACAACAGCCGAAGGGGATAAATGATGATTTCGAGATGTATGGTTGTGCGACCAAATCTATGGCAATGGGCGCCATTGTGGCAGTGATACGGAGTTGATGAATAAAGTAAACCTGGGAGATGGGTAAGGAACGCTTTTTCAGCAGTTTTCTGTTGCCGAACCTGCCATACGTAACAAACGAGGAAAATTTGCCTTCGAAATCAACCGGGAGAGTTTATTCCGTAGTTCACATAACTTTCCATCTCCAAATCCGTTAACAACTATCGATTCAAGGTTGGTCCTTTACCAGTCTGTGGGTAATCACAAGGTTTAATAGACAGCTGTTGTTGACCCTGGAGTTAGGACCCCAATTTAGCCACCTCAAAGAGTACAACAAATTCCTGGGGCTGGAACATCGCTACAGAAAAGGTAACATCCGCAGTACCACTATGCATTGCAGTAATAACGCCGTACGCATAGCAGCCACTAGCCCAGTAAACCCAGCCACTGGGCGTGCGCGGTCAACCTCCCGCCATCAAAAGTCAAATGGCCTAATCTGAATCAACCATCCAGTCCCGCTTTACTCACTCGCGTATATTAACTGACCGGCCTTCCACTAATACAACTTCATTCTCCGGCTACTAGGCACACATGCCGGGATAGCCGCAAGGCTTAAGTTCTAAACATATAAGCCCGATTCTTGTTCACCGTGCATTCTATCCCGAATACTCAAAGCGTGTTTCTGATACAGGTAAAA